CTAAGCGCGTCTTGCGCTATCTGCGTGCCACCTCTGACCTTGCTCTCACTCTTGGTGGCTCTATTCCTCCCGTTCTCTCCGGCTACAGTGACTCTTCCTACGCTGACTCTCGCCCTGATCGTCGCTCATCTCAGGGCTATGGTTTTACTCTTGGCAGTGGTCTCATCAGCTGGCGCTCCACTCGCTCATCCTCTGTCTGCCTTTCCACCTGCGAGGCTGAGTTGTACGCAGGCACATTGGCGGCTCAGGAAGCTCGTTGGCTCTCCTTTCTCCTTGCTGAGCTTGGTCACTCTCAGTCCTCTGTGACGCTCTCCTGTGACAGTGCGAGCATGATCCATCTCACTGAAAATCCTGTCTATCACGCCCGCAGCAAGCATATCGAGGTCCGCTATTTCTTTGTGCGTGAGCTGGTGCAGTCTGGCTTCTTACGCCTTCGCAAGGTGGACGCTACTGCCAACCTTGCAGACATTTTCACCAAGGCCCTCCTGCGTGCACCGCACCGTTTCTACGTGCGCGAGCTTGGGCTCACGCGTCTCTCCACTTCTGGGGGTGTGCCGGTTCGCTAGGTGTTTTGCTCCAGAGCTTCACCTAGCCTGGGGGTGTGTTGGAGTAGGCTAGAGCTCGCTCTGGCCTTTATTTTGGTGTTCTTATATTGTTATTTCTCTGGGCTTAGAGCGAGTTACGCACTCAGGTTCATTTTAGGTTCATTTCATAATTGTTAGAACAAACCGAACACACCCTAGGTTCAATTAGGGTTTCCAACCCTCTCTCTTTTGTATCTCGACATTCTCCTCCTAGTTCAACTTCTTCAACCTCACCAAAGCCTCTCGCCATCCATGGCTTTCCTTACTTTCACACCTCCAGTCCCAGGGTCTCCAGCCTCAGTGTCTCCAGTACGAGCACCTCCAGAACCAGCGACTCCAGCACCTCCAGTAGACAAAGGTCCAGCACCACTCCTAGCTCCAGCAGCGCGACGCTGACGGCGACCGTACCAGTCCTGCAGCTGCTGTGGGGTGAGAGGCACACGTGGACGAAGGCGGCTACTCCAAGGAGACCGCGCAACAGCAGACTCAGAACCCTCAGCGCCCGCACCCCCAACGGCTCCAGAACCTCCGGTGTCAGTACCCTCAGCACCTGTACCTCCAGCGGCTCCAGAACCTCCAGCGCGAGCACCCTCAGCAGCTCCAGAACCTCCAGCTCCAGCGCCACCAGTACTAGGCCCTCCAGCAGCTCCCGAACCTCCAGCGCCAGCACCCTCAGTAGCTCCAGAACCTCCAGCGTCAGTACCGCCAAGCTCAGCACCCCCAGACCCCTCACACTCAGGCTCAGCACCACCAGGCTCCACACCCTCAAGCTCCGCACCCTCAGGCTCAGCACCCCCAGGCTCAGCACCCCTAGGCTCCGCACCCCCAGGCTCAGCACCCCTAGAAGTAGCACCCCGAGAAGGACCACCCTCAGTAGGACCTGAGTCACCAGTGACCTCAACCGGCGCAGTCAAGGGAGGAGGGTCTACCTGAGAAACACCTGAAGGAGCAGGACCAGGAGTGGGGAGGGGGTCTACCTGGGGAGCACCTGGAGCGAGGAAGAGCGGCGGGGGGGGAGCGGGGCAGTGCGGTAGGGGAAGAGACGGTAAAAGGGAACCGACTCGTCGAACGTGACGTCCTGAGACGCAAAGACACGGCGCGAGGTGGGATGGTAAAACTGCCAACCAGGCGCGTCAGGGACAAAGCCAAGGAAGACACAGGGAACAGCGCGGGCGGAGAGCTTGTCCGCGGTGGTATCGCGGACAAAGGCACGAGCACCCCAGACCCGGAAACGCGACGCATCACCAACCTTCCTCGTCCACAGCAGTGTGGGCGAGGTCTCCGGCAAGGAGACACGGGGCCAGAGGTTGAGCTGATGCGCGGCGTACCGGACCGCAAACGGCCACAGGAAATGGGGGGCAGCCGCATGGATCATGGAGGTACGAGCGACCTCCATGACTAAGCCAATGCGACGCTCAGCAACCCCATTCTGCTGTGGAGAGGCCGGAAGCGTGAACGACTGGGTGATGCCGTGCTCCGCACAGTAGGCTGCCAAGAGGTCGGAGAAGAACTCACCACCTCTGTCAGAGTGCAGACGCAGGACAGGAAAGTCCCGCCGGAACCGCTCGCGAAGCTGGAGACGAACAGCGCGGATCCAAGGGATCAAAACATCAGGGACGTCCCCCTTGCTCTGCAAGGGGAAGACCGTGGTGTAACGCGTGTAGTCGTCGACAACCAGCAGGAAGTACCGCTCGCGGCCCTGTCCCTGGACGCGGGCTGGGCCCCACACGTCCAGGTGGAGCGTCTGCAGTGGAGCCTCTGTGGGAGGAAACGAGGAGGAGTGAGGAGCGGCGCGCTGCCGCCCCTCGACGCAAGGAATGCAGGGCGGCGCAGGCGAGGGAGGGAGGGCAGAGACCTGGGAAGACCAGAGACCAGGGAGCGAGAGTGCATGCTACGCAGGCGAGGCAAGGAGGGGTGACCAAGACGGTGGTGCCACAGGAGAGTGTCGTGCGACAAAGCGCGACACTCGCAGGGGGCCGCCAGCTGACCAGACGTAGACGCAGACGCAGCTACCTGAGGGGACTCAGTGGTCAGTGTGTACAGACTCGAGCCAGGTGCACGGGTGAACGTGGCCAAGTGCCGGCCCGTCCTAGCACACGTACAGTGAGTCACTCGCTGACTCGCAGGAGTGAACTGGTCAACCTCCCGATCCTGGAGGTCAGCTCCACTCACCAAGTTCGTAGAGAACGAGGGGAGGTAAAGACCTGACAGCGAGCCGGACGGGACGGCCGGACACGGCAGAACCGTGGAGTAGTGGGCAAGGACTGGACCCCCGGAGGGGTCCGCCAGGGAGACTGGAACTGGCCGACTAAGCGGCGTGAGTGTGGTGCAGTCGCGAAAGAAGGAGCGGGAAGCTCCTGAGTCAAGGGTGAAGGTGTGCGAGACCGTAGTTGGCGCAGTACCAGAGAGAGCAGACTCACCAGCACCTGAAGCCACGGCCTCACCAGTACCTAGAGCAGTAGACGTACTAGCACCGAGAGCAGCAGCCTCACCAGCACCTAGAGCAGGAGACGCACTAGCACCTAGAGCAGCAGCCTCACCAGGGTCAGGCGGTACGCACAGATAACAGGCACGATCAGCACTAGTAGGCAATGCATACATGGCAGTGAGAATAGCATCATAGTCAAGCGCAAAGATATCTACCCTCTGTCCATGCAGCTCCAGCCAGGTGGGGAGCTCAGCCTCGTCGCCAAACACTGTGCGCCAGTCGTCGCTCAGACGGGCGAAGCAGCGGGACTGTGTGTGACCAAGCGTCCCACAAGGCTGACCAGTCCTAGCACCTGTGCGAATGACGTACGGGCAGCGAACTGTACGCGTAGACCTGCTACACTGAGCGTACCACTCCTGGAGCTGCCGGGGCGTAAGTGTCTCACGTGGACGCCCCTGCAGCTGCAGCTGGCCACTGCCAGACGCTCCCAACTGACCAGCTCCAGGGCGACAGCTACGACGGCTACTGCGACAACCCCAGCTAGTATACCACTCACTAAGCTGCTGGGGCGTCAGAGGCTCGCGTGAACGTCGCTGGAGCTGCATCTGGCCTCCTGCCAGTAGCAGTAGCAGCAGCAGTAGCGCGGGCAAGGCAGGCGCGGCAGGCAGGCAGGCAAGCAGGCAGGCAGGCAGGCAGGCAGCCAGGCAGGCAGGCAGGCAGGCAGGCAGACAGGCAGGCAGGCAGGCAGGCAAGCAGACAGACAGGCAGGCCGGCAGGCAGGCAGGCAGGCCGGCAGGCAGGCAGGCAGGCAGTCGCGCAGGCAGGCAGGCAGGCAGGCCGGCAGGCAGGCAGGCAGCCAGGCCGGCAGGCAGGCAGGCAGGCAGGCAGGCCGTCAGGCAGGCAGGCAGGCGCTCACCAAAGGCTGGGAGAGCAGGCGCTCACCGGGCGAGCAGGGCCGGCGCTCGACGGGCGGCGGCCGAGTAGGCGCACGACAGCGGCGGCGTCGGGGCCGCAAAACCGGCTGCAGAGCAGGGCCGAAGCAGCTGCAGGGCGGGGCCGCTTCAGCGGCAGTAGCAGGGTGGGGCCGCGTCAGCGGCAGGTCGGGGCCGTGGCAGCTGCAGGGCGGGGCCGCATCAGCGGCAGGTCGGGGCCGTGGTAGCTGCAGGGCGGGGCCGCATCAGCGGCAGGTCGTGGCCGAGGCAGAGGGCCGCGCGCGGCTCGGCGCGGGCTGCGCTGACAGCGCGCTGAGCTGCTGCAGGCCGCGCGCGGCCGCGCTAGGCAGTAGCGGGCCGCGCGCGGCTCGGCGCGGGCTGTTGCGGGCCGCGCGAGGCAGTAGCAGGCCGCGCGCGGCTCGGCGCGGGCTGCTGCGGGCCGCGCGCGGGCCTCGCGAGGCCGTAGCAGGCCGCGCGCGGCTCGACGCGGGCTGCGTGGGCTCGGCGCGGGCTGCGCGCGGCAGCTGCGGGCTGCGCGCGGCTGCAGCGGGCTGCGCGCGGCTCGGTGCGGGCTGCGCGCGGCTGCAGCGGGCTGTGCGCGGCTCGGCGCGGGCTGCGTGGGCTCTGTGCGGGCTGCGCGCGGCTGCAGCGGGCTGCGCGCGGCTCGGCGCGGGCTGCGCGGGCTCTGTGCGGGCTGCGCGCGGCTGCAGCGGGCTGCGCGGGCCTTACGGGCCTCTAGGGGCGGCGCGTGGGCCTTACGGGCCTCTAGGGGCAGCGCGCTGGCCTAGGGCAGCAGGAGGCAGCGCTAGGGCTGCTGGACGGCGCACATAGTGCAGCACGTCACAAGGCAAGGCAAGGCAGGCAGGTACGTGGGGTAGCGCGGTAACCGCAGCGGTAGGTGGGCCCGAAAAAAACGGTCCTACGGACCTTAGTGCTCTGAAACCATGTCAGAATCTAGCGGCAGGAATGGATGAACTAGCAGCATGCAGGAGTACAAGTAGTAAACCCTAATTGGGCTGTACCCCATATGGGCTACCCCACTACAGCCTAGACAATATGCAGCATATATATTTGACACTTCTTGCCTCCCATTCTCCCCTTCCTGCCTCCCTTCTTTCCCTTATCCCCCATCCCTCCCTTCCCTCCCTTCCCTCCCTTCTCTCCCTTCCCTCCCTTCTCCCCCGTTCCTCCCTTCTCCCCCGTCCCTCCCTTCTCTCCCTTCCCTCTCTTTTCTCCCTTCCCTCCTTTCTCTCCCTTCCCTCCCTTCTCTCCCTTCCCTCCCTTCTCTCCCTTCCCTCCCTTCTCTCCCTTCCCTCCCTTCTCCCCCGTCCCTCCCTTCTCCCCCGTCCCTCCCTTCTCTCCCTTCCCTCCCTTTTCTCCCTTCCCTCCTTTCTCTCCCTTCCCTCCCTTCTCTCCCTTCCCTCCCTTCTCTCCCTTCCCTCCCTTCTCTCCCTTCCCTCCCTTCTCCCCCGTCCCTCCCTTCTACCCCGTCCCTCCCTTCTCCCCTCCCTCCCTTCTCTCCCTTCCCTCCCTTTTCTCCCTTCCCTCATTTCTCTCCCTTCCCTCCCTTCTCTCTCTTCCCTCCCTTTTCTCCCTTTCCTCCCTTCTCTCCCTTCACTCACTTCTCTCCCTTCACTCACTTCTCTCCCTTCCCTCCCTTCTCTCCCTTCCCTCCCTTCTCTCCCTTCCCTCCCTTTTCTCCCTCCTTTCTTCTCTTCCGCGCCGTGCATTCCCATTGTCCCCTGCCTGCCTCACAATCTATCCTTCCAGCCTCGCCCTTGTCGTCCTGCCTGTCATTCCATCTCCCCTCCCTGCATACCCCTCTCTTCCTGTCCTCCCTTCTCTGCGCCTCTCCCCCTCACTGTGCCCCCTGCTGTACTATTCCCTCTTGTTACCTTTCCTGCCACCCCTCCGAAGCTGAAAGCGATCTCAAAGTGCTTTTCCTCACATGCCTTCCAAAGCCTCCTTCTCCCCCTGAGTCCCCTCCTCCCCCTCGACCTGATTCCTCTCGACTTCTTCCTGATTCCCCTCATTTTCGTCCTGATTCCCCTCATTTTCGTCCTGATTCTCCTCATTTTCTTCCTGATTCCCCTCATTTTCGTCCTGATTCCCCTCATTTTCGTCCTGATTCTCCTCATTTTCTTCCTGATTCCCCTCATTTTCTTCCTGATTCCCCTCATTTTCTTCCTGATTCCCCTCATTTTCTTCCTGATTCCCCTCATTTTCTTCCTGATTCCCCTCATTTTCTTCCTGATTCCCCTCATTTTCTTCCTGATTCCCCTCATTTTCTTCCTGATTCCCCTCATTTTCTCCCTGGTTCCCCTCATTTTCACCCTGACTCTCCTCTTCTTCATCCTAATTCCCATCATTTTCTCCATGATTCCTCTCATCACAGCTTGTGGTTGAACCATTACCCTTATTTCCTGCCCTCGGATTCTTTCCCCTTCCCTGACTATTTCAGTGACTGACTGCTCTGAAGATTTCAAGCTTCAACACGCCTCACCCAATCATCTCATGTCTACCGCAGCTAATATTTGTTGCCAAAGGCATAGAGAAAGGGTCAATAGTACGGTACCTTGCTTGCTCCTCTTGGCCTTTGCCTATAGTCTAAAGTTATGTGAGAACATGTTTCTTTCTACCTGTAAGGGATGTGACACCTGTCCATGCATTGCACTGCTGAATCATGGTAGTACATACCGTAATCACCCGGACAAAACACCCCCCCGTAATAGTACACCCCCGGGTAGCTTGTGCGGGGGGGGTGCTATAGCCGACCTCGTTTGTACTATACCCCCCCTTTTGGGGTGATTCTCTATAACACCCCCCTTTTCTTACGAAACCCTATTATAGCTGTTATCGAGTCAGATTTTTTACGGGAGGATATGACGAAAATCGCTTCCTGAATGAAATTTCGCGTGCACTTTCACTTCGAATCTACCGAGATTCCCTCCCTTCCACAATCTCGCTGTCGCCACGCTGGCGAATCTTCCGCTGCACGTGGCCCGAGAGGTGAAACTCACATTCTCGCCAAAACGCGAATTCTCGCCTCAACCTGTGATGTTAAAACGACTATTGAAACACCCAAATTGTCCAATACAACTTTTTTCTTACACTAAAAAGTGCCATATATAACCACCCGGGTATTATATAGGATTTTCCGTTGAGAGCACCCCCCCCTTTTTTTCCCTGTGGTTATCATAATACCCCCGGGTGTTATGTCCGGGTGATTACGGTAGTAAGCTTCATGACACATCTTTCTAGGAATAACTCACTACCATACTTGCATCACAATGCACACGAGACAGAACATAAGTGGTGACAAACCATCCACTAGCTACGCCTCTGCTTGTAATTGCTGCCCTCTGTATCAACACAGCCAATTAGCAGAGTAGGCAAAAACGAACCAGTAATGCTCCAGGGAAGGTGCTGTGAGGCAGAAGAGAAGCAACAAAGGAATTCAAGCACGTGATGGCACTACATGCACAGGAACTAGATTGTAGACAGTGACGAGTGAGGGGGGAGGGGAGGGCATGCAAGGGAACGGAAGGGAGAAGGGATGGGAAAGGGAAGGGAACCCCAACCGGACCACGAACTCGTCGCGGTGTAACGCACTGCTTCACACGCACTCGCAACAGCGCAGTAGTGCTGGCCACCAGGCCACGAGGCCACGACACGGGAGGGAAGATGCGAAGGCAGGGAGAGCGGTGATGGGAAGGGAGGGATGGGAGATTGGAAGGCAGGGTTGCGTGTGAAAAGATGAGAGCAAGTGGGAGGAGCAGAAAGACAGGTTAAGTTGTGAGGCAATGGTGGGAGAGGAGGGTTGACGGTTGAAACTCGGCTCTGTCTGCGAGCAAGGGAGTGTGGGTGCACGGCAGCAGTTTGTGTGTGCATAGGTGTGCACAGCAGCACAGTAGCGCCATAACACCCACCTGAACAGTCAGGTCTCGAGTGGGCAACACAACGACCGCTCTGACTTGTCGCACCACGTGCCGCACCAGGGCCTGCATCACTGGCTGCACATACGCCAGCGTCTACTGGGAAGGGGGAAATGACCGTATTACCCACCTAGGCATCCAGGTCTCTGGCGGGCAGCACTACCACCGCCCGCACCACACGCCCTGCTAGTGACTGCACCAATGGCAGTGCATACGATAGGGTGGCAGGGGGAAAACAAACCAGAAAGGAGGGGATGCGTGGGGGGAAAGGAGGGGAAGCAGGGGCGGAAATGAGGGGATGCGTGGGGGGAAAGGAGGGGAAGCAGGGGCGGAAATGAGGGGATGCGTGGGGGGAAAGGAGGGGAAGCAGGGGCGGAAATGAGGGGATGCGTGGGGGGAAAGGAGGGGAAGCTGGGGTGGAAATGAGGGGATACGTAGGGGGAAAGGAGGGGAAGCAGGGGCGGAAATGAGGGGATGCGTGGGGGGAAAGGAGGGGAAGCAGGGGCGGAAATGAGGGGATGCGTGGGGGGAAAGGAGGGGAAGCAGGGGCGGAAATGAGGGGATGCGTGGGGGGAAAGGAGGGGAAGCAGGGGCGGAAATGAGGGGATGCGTGGGGGGAAAGGAGGGGAAGCAGGGGCGGAAATGAGGGGATGCGTGGGGGGAAAGGAGGGGAAGCAGGGGCGGAAATGAGGGGATGCGTGGGGGGAAAGGAGGGGAAGCAGGGGCGGAAATGAGGGGATGCGTGGGGGGAAAGGAGGGGAAGCAGGGGCGGAAATGAGGGGATGCGTGGGGGGAAAGGAGGGGAAGCAGGGGCGGAAATGAGGGGATGCGTGGGGGGAAAGGAGGGGAAGCAGGGGCGGAAATGAGGGGATGCGTGGGGGGAAAGGAGGGGAAGCAGGGGCGGAAATGAGGGGATGCGTGGGGGGAAAGGAGGGGAAGCAGGGGCGGAAATGAGGGGATGCGTGGGGGGAAAGGAGGGGAAGCAGGGGCGGAAATGAGGGGATGCGTGGGGGGAAAGGAGGGGAAGCAGGGGCGGAAATGAGGGGATGCGTGGGGGGAAAGGAGGGGAAGCAGGGGCGGAAATGAGGGGATTCCTGGGGGTAAATCCGTGAGGCGAGCAGCGCGTTACTGGTGGCTGCAGTAGGATGGCTGGCACGCGCGCGCTTCTGGACTGAATTTCGATGGAGCGCGCGTGCTTGCAACCGCGTGCTGTTTGCTGGGCATCTAAGCGTCACATGCGCTCGCTGTGCTGGCGCGCCGCGCGGTATGCAGGCCTAAACCGTATTTTTTTGCGGCGCGCGTCTTGCTGGCAAGCTTCGCTCTGCTGAGCGCGCTATGCTAGCGCGCGGACGGAATGCCAGCATAGCGCGCGCAAGTGCCGCGCGCGGATGCCAGCACAGCGCGCGCAAGTGTTGCGCGCGGAATGATAGCGTAACTGGCGCAAGTCCCGCTCACGGAATGCCATCATAGCTGGCGCCAGTGACGCGCGCGGAATGACACGACGCACACGGAGTGCCACCATCGCTGGCGCTAGTGACGCTCGCAGGCGTCGCCTGTTCTGCAAATGGCTAAATACTCACCCGCGTCTATGTATGTGGTCGCGCTGCTGGCCTAGCACCCTCCGGCCTGCTGTACCTAAACTAGTAGCTACTAGATGCGTATTCTCCGTAGTGTGATGTAGAAGGCAAGTTCGGTGACGGGAGTTTTTTCCCATTTTGTGACCCACAACCTACCCAACCCTGTTCCCCTTACAACTGAAGCGCTCCAGTTTTTCGCCAACACTCTCGCTATTCTGTTTACATTTTCGTTGAGGCGAAATCGCCTGGCACACTGTGCAGAAACAACAGTGCTGCCAAATGTATACTCCTGCTTAAAACTTTTGCACCCCAGAAGAGGTGTTCTGCAGGCAGAGGCGTCAAATTTGGCGCAAACAGGCTTGGCAAGCCAAACCCACCAGCCCCCTAAAATGCGTGGCCAACGGTAGAAGTTCTCCCAACGTGGCATGCATGCTGAGCAGCGCCTCAGCCAAACGCGTAGCATAATTTTGCCTGTCGAGCTGTTCTCGCGCTTCGGGCCATGGCAAATCAATGGACGTCTTCTGCAGGGAAGCCTTCGCGCGAACAGCCTCCTTGCTGCCACACACGGGTTTTTATCGGGCTCCCCCTAGCAAACGCAGCGCCACTCTTCTCAGAGCCCGGCTGATTGTTCGCGTTCCGCAGCGTGCTTTCTTAGTGAGGCAGTAGTCTTGCACTAGTAATAGTTTCCGTTTCTTGGAAAACGTGTAGCGCTAGGTAGCCATGTCACCGCCGACTGGAGCTCGTCTCGCGTATGTGATTCTGTACGTGGAAGACATCGATGCAGCGGTGAAGTTTTACAAGGACGTGTTTATGTTCGATGTGAGGCGCGTGGACAACAGCAGAAGGTATTCAAGCAATACCGTATCTTGTTTTCTTGCCGTCTGTTGTTCATTGTGCTGCTGAATGGTTTTTCCGTTTTCCTCTCTCAAAATGCATGTTACATAATTCATTGAGCCACTCCTTTGCTTGTCAGATGGGCTGAATTGGAGACTGGGTCAACAACTCTGGCGTTTACCCCGCTAGAGCAAAGGGAGACGAAGATCACAGGTGGCGTGCATGCGCCTGAGGAGCAGGAGCAGCGGCAGAACGTGGAGATAAGCATAAGCGTTTTCGACGTTCAAGACACTTTTGAGGTACAGTACAGCCATGACTTCATAACATTTTTCCCCGTGGCTGGAATCCCTTGCTTATTAGCATGACTTCAGATATTCCCAAGTTGACTTTTGTGAAGGATTGATTGACTTAAATCATGTGATCCATCGTCTGCAGAGAGCCCTGAAGGCGGGTGCAAAGGAAGTTGCCAAACCAGAGCCCAAGGAGTGGGGCCAGACCGTGGGGTACCTTCGTGACCCCTTTGGCATCACTGTTCGGCTTGGCTCACACCTATCCTCTTCATAATTGCCAATCGTTCTTCTGTAGCTGGGCCTAATCACTTCGCCGGGTAGTTGGCAAGGGTGTCTTGTTTTAGGTACTGTAAAGCTTGTAGCAGATTTGAGATAGTGCTGTGTACCAGTAAGCTGCTGTGGGCACTATGAGAACACTGTATCTCTCCCAAGGCACAGCCAGACTTGAGGGACTTTCTGCAACAAGAATTACGCAAGTACTCCTGTCTAGTCCAGGGTTTAGAGAACAATCTAGTACCGTAATCACCCGGACATAACACCCGGGGGTATTATGATAACCACAGGGAAAAAAAGGGGGGGGTGCTCTCAACGGAAAATCCTATATAATACCCGGGTGGTTATATATGGCACTTTTTAGTGTAAGAAAAAAGTTGTATTGGACAATTTGGGTGTTTCAATAGTCGTTTTAACATCACAGGTTGAGGCGAGAATTCGCGTTTTGGCGAGAATGTGAGTTTCACCTCTCGGGCCACGTGCAGCGGAAGATTCGCCAGCGTGGCGACAGCGAGATTGTGGAAGGGAGGGAATCTCGGTAGATTCGAAGTGAAAGTGCACGCGAAATTTCATTCAGGAAGCGATTTTCGTCATATCCTCCCGTAAAAAATCTGACTCGATAACAGCTATAATAGGGTTTCGTAAGAAAAGGGGGGTGTTATAGAGAATCACCCCAAAAGGGGGGGTATGATACAAACGAGGTCGGCTATAGCACCCCCCCCGCACAAGCTACCCGGGGGTGTACTATTACGGGGGGGTGTTTTGTCCGGGCAATTACGGTAACTATGAATAGATATCAAGCAGCAAAAGGAAGTTTGGAAATTATTGGCACAACAGCGGAACTATTGAAAGCGCGGATGGATGTCACCTTGAACACTTCGGCCATGCCCTTGTTCACAGAAGTTAGGACGCGCCTGTCAAAGTTATATTGTTATAATTGCATGTAGTTGTCGAGAGAGTTAGGCAAGGTTGAATCGATTGACGAGAGAGTTTGGTACAAGAAACACAACCCTAAAGTGTTATCCCCTATAACATCTACCCCACTACAGCCTACCAATATATATCACACATATATATATCATTTGACACACCCCCATAGGCAAAGTGGGGGAGAGCAACGGGTCACAAGACCAGTCAAGAGAAGCAAAACAAGCTCAGGGTGGATCACAACGTCACCACACATTCTGAGCACAAGCAAATGGCCACAAGGCCAGTTCACATGCAGAGATATATATGCAGCAATGACAGTACAGTGATGGCTACCTAGCAAGAGCCAGCATGCAGGTATATATATATATATATATATCACAGTACAAGCAGAGACTACAGCAAGTGTGGAAACGTAGGCACAAGGCCCAACAGAGTACAAAAGCGCTGATGATCACCAGACGGAAGTGCCTTGGTGAATATATCAGCAGTGTTGGCCCGAGTGGCCACGTGGCGAAGACGAAGCTGGCCTCGCTGCTGCAGCTCTCGAGCCAGGAAGTAACGCAGAGCAATGTGCTTCGTTCTGTGCTCCAGTCTGTGCTCCTCACACAAGGCAATGGCGGCCTTGTTGTCAACGTACAGCACTGGAGGAGAACGAGGCTGCTCTCCCAAGTCAGTCAGCAGGTAGGTGAGCCAGCGTAACTCCTGTGCAGCCATGGCGGTGGCGTAGATCTCAGCCTCACAACTGGAGCCGAGAACTGAAGACGAGCGTGTAGAACGCCACGAAACTGAACCAGAGCCAAGGCTGAAGGTGTAACCCTGTGATGACCGCTGAGTAGCCAGGTCGTCAACCCAAGAAGCGTCTGAGTGCCCAGTGAGGACAACTGGGCTCGTCCCTCCAAGCACTAGCCCCATGCCTGATGTGCTGCACAAGTAGCGCAGTACCCTCTTAGCAGCAGCCATGTGCTCAGGTCGGTGCCGACCAGGAGCCACGTAGCGAGCCAGGAGACCAAGAGGGTACGCGAGGTCAGGTCGAGTGCAAGTCATCAGGTACATGAGGCAGCCGACTAGCTCTGGGTAAGGACCACTCGGCTCTACGGACTCGTCCGAAGGTGGAGCTGAGAGCGTGTGACCTGTAGCCAGAGGAGTGGCCTGTGCTGAAGACCAGGTGAAGCCGAAGCGCTGAAGGACCTGCTGCACCATGTGTGACTGAGTCAAGGTGATGGTGCGACGTGCTCTGTCCCGGGTGATCTGCAGGCCAAGGTAGCTGCGCAGCTCACCCAAGTCTGTGCACGTGTGTCTCTTCTGCAGCTCCAACTTCACGTGGGCGAGAGCCTCAGTGTCAGCAGTGGCAAAAACCAAGTCGTCGACGTACACGAGGATGTAGAACGGCGGCAGTGAAGTGTCGGTGCGCAGAAACAACGACGGGTCAGCAGTAGAAGGCGCGAACCCAAGAGCCGCAAGCGTAGTCCTCAGTGTGTCGTGCCACTCACGTGGCGCCTGGCGGAGACCGTAGACCGGCCGCCGGAGGCTCCACTGGGTACCAGGAGGGAACGAATGACATAGGGGCAGCGGTCAGAACCCCGAGACGCCCCACGCCCAGCATACCAGTCATTGAGCTGCTGGGAGGTGAGGGGAGGAAGCTGCTGCTGCTGCTGCTGTGGCTGCTGCTGCTGCTGCTGCTGCTGCTGGCCACCAGTGGGGCCACCCTTCTGGCCAGATCCACCCCCACTCCCACCTCCACCGCCACTGCCGCTGCCTCCTCCCCCACCACCGCCGCCGCCGCCTCCACCGCCCCCGGTCCTGCCGCCACCCCACCCACCGCCTCCACCCCCACGGCCACCCCCACCACCTCCACCACCCCCGCCGCCTCCACCACCGCTCCCTCCACCGCCACCTCCGCCACCCCTGCCACCCTTGCCGCCCCTGCCACCACCACGCTTCCCACCAGGAGCGGAAGCCGCTGCGACCTTCTCCGCACCGAGGAAGTCGACAGCAGTAGCAGCAGAGGCGTAGGAGGGGTCAAGAGGGGAGGGGGAGCACCCCTCAAAGAGGGGAGTGCGGGGAGTGCCACGAGCAGCACCGACAGCGAGGATGTTCTTCTCTGCTGCGACCAGCTGCTGCTCGAAGTCGTCCAGAGTGATAGTTGGAGGATCCTTGGCAAGGAAGTAATCCCTGACAGAGCGAAGAGTGTCAGGGAGGCGGGTGACGAGGATGTAGAGGGTGAAGTACAGCGGGGGGGTGTTCGTGGCGAGGAACTCGTCGGTAAGAGCGGCTCGAAAGCGGGCGTCACTAGCGCGGAGGTGAGTGATAAGGTCGGCAGCAGTGTGAAACGAGGCTAAGTCTGGGAACAGGTAAGGCAGGATGAGACTACCAACGGTGGCTGTGGCCGGGGCGGAATAGCGGGCAACGACAGCATCATACAGCGTCTTAGCAGTCTTAAGCTGGTTGAAATGCGCGCGCTCAGAGATCGGTAGGTGATTGCGAATAACAAGGCGCGCGACTGCATCGCGGAGCTCCCACTGTGCTCGTTCAGGGGCAGGAGCAGTCTCAGCGGGAGTAGGGACAGTGCCGGTCACATAGGCTAGCAGTGACACTCCGTCTGCGACGTCAGTCATAAGGTAAAGGCGCAGGTCACTAAGCCAGGTGTCAAACTCGATGGGGCGGCCGTCAGGCTCAAAGGCGAGAACAGTAAGGGTCGCCATGGTTGCAGCGCAGGCAAAAGTAGCAGGCTCAGGCAGCAGGCTCAGGCAGCAGGCAAAGGCTGCAGGCTCAGGCAGCAGGCTCAGGCAGCAAGCTCAGACAGCAGGCAAAGGCTGCAGGCTCAGGCAGCAGGCTCAGGCAGCAGGCAAAGGCTGCAGGCTCAGGCAACAGGCAACTGTAGCAGGTAGGCAGTTGATACAGACGCAATGCGAGCAGGTAAGGAAACACGCAGATCAGTGACAGGCCGCGCGCAGGCTGGCGGGGCGCGACGTGAGCTGCGCGGGCGGTGCGCGGGCCGCGTGCGGGCTGCGCGCGGGCTGCGCGGGCTGCGCGCGGGCTGCGCAGGCTCAGTGCGGGCCGCGCGGGCTCGGCGCGGGCTGCGCGCGGGCTGCGCGGGCTCAGTGCGGGCCGTGCGGGCTCGGCGCGGGCTGCACGGACGGTGCGCAGGGCAGCTGCGGGCCGCGCGGGCTCAGGGCGGGCTGCACGAGCGACCTACGGGGCGCGACGCGGCTGGCAGCAGCTGTGCGCGCTAAAAAAAAAGGCGTGCGCGCGCAGCCGAGGCGCGCGCGGGCAGCAGGCTAGGCAGACAAGTATGCAAGGCAGGCAGGCAGGCCGTTGGGGAGGTAACTTAGTACATGGTGGGCCCTTAAGCTTAGGTCTAGGAACCTGCTCTGATACCATGTCGAGAGAGTTAGGCAAGGTTGAATCGATTGACGAGAGAGTTTGGTACAAGAAACACAACCCTAAAGTGTTATCCCCTATAACATCTACCCCACTACAGCCTACCAATATATATCACACATATATATCATTTGACAGTAGTTGTAGCTTAGTGTAGCATTACATTTAACTGTTGGTGGTATACCTTGCGTCTCTCCTATTTGTACCCTTTGCTCAATAGTGAAACCCCTTCCTTTTCTCGACAATCTTCTCCTTACCCTCCTTGCCTAGGCTTCTAAGCCTAGGCATCCTAAACCTAAGTTACTCCTAAGTTACTCCTTATTCTAACATGCTATCAGAGCTAGTCCCGGTCTAAGGACCTCGATCTCTTCTAAGGAACATGGGCCCGCCCTTGTCTCAGCGCGAAATGCGCATTTTTTTTTCTGTCTCGTCGACCCGCGGCCCCCGCGTCGCCCCGCGCCGTTTCCTCGCCACGCGGCCCCCCGTTCCCGTCGCCCGCGGCCCCCCCGTTCCCGTCGCCCGCGGCCCCCCCGTTCCCGTCGCCCGCGGCCCCCCGTTCCCGTCGCCCGCGGCCCCCCGTTCCCGTCGCCCGCGGCCCCCCCGTTCCCGTCGCCCGCGGCCCCCCGTTCCCGTCGCCCGCGGCCCCCCGTTCCCGTCGCCCGCGGCCCCCCCGTTCCCGTCGCCCGCGGCCCCCCGTTCCCGTCGCCCGTGCCCCCCCGTTCCCGTCGCCCGCGGCCCCCCGTTCCCGTCGCCCGCGGCCCCCCGTTCCCGTCGCCCGCGGCCCCCCGTTCCCGTCGCCCGCGGCCCCCCGTTCCCGTCGCCCGCAGCCCTCCGTTCCCGTCGCCCGCAGCCGTCCAGCGCCTCGCCAGGCGCCTGCGCGGACGCTAGCGACGAGCGCCAGCGCCACGGCTAGCCGCGAGCGCCAGCGCATGCGCCAGCGCCAGCGCCAACGTCTACGCCAGCGCCAGCAGCAGCTACCGTCGCCCCCTCCACCCGCCCTTCCTTCCGCGACTTCCGTCGTGGGGAGGGGGGGAGGGGGAGACGTGGGGTGGCGGGTGTGAATCACCAGCAGGCCGTCCCTCCCTTCCCTCTTCCTCTCTCCCTGCAGCACTTGGTGCTGTAGGGGGGGGGGGAGAGCAGTTGAGGGGGGATGGGAGTAATCTGCTTTATTTCTCTCTCGTTCTTCTCCCTCTCTCTTCCGCTGCATCACTTCTCGCTACTCCTCCTTGTATCCGTCGTATCTGGTCGCCTCCCGCGTGGAAACAGCAGCCACGCATCTGCAGATGCCGCCCACTGCTACTGTGGCTCCTACAGCTGCAGCCCCTGACGCCTCGTTCGTCTTCTTTGCTGTTGAGCTGCAAACTAGATGCGCCACAGCACTTTGTCTCCTTTCTCCGTTCGTCTTCTTTGCTGTTGAGCTGCAAACTAGATGCGCCACAGCATTTTGTCTCCTTTCTCCGTTCGTCTTCTTTGCTGTTGAGCTGCAAACTAGATGCGCCACAGCATTTTGTCTCCTTTCTCTCTTTCTTGCCTCAGGGCTTGCTGCAGCTGTCTCTGCCACCACTGCACTGGTTGTCATTGCTCTTGCGTGCTACTGCTTGGTGTACCCCCGCAGGTTGTGTTTTGCAATTGGCTATAACTGCATGCAGTTAAGGGGGGATGTCAAAGTTATATTGTTATAACTGCATGTAGTTGTAGCTTAGTGTAGCATTACATTTAACTGTTGGTGGTATACCTTGCGTCTCTCCTATTTGTACCCTTTGCTCAATAGTGAAACCCCTTCCTTTTCTCGACAATCTTCTCCTTACCCTCCTTGCCTAGGCTTCTAAGCCTAGGCATCCTAAACCTAAGTTACTCCTAAGTTACTCCTTATTCTAACAGCGTCACCTACTTTCGATCCCAGCACCGATCCTCCGCAGGTTCGTTTTTTAGCGGGGATAAAACGTGGCATGTGGGAAAACGTGGTGGCTGGCATGCATGGCAGTTGTTGTCCATAATCTACAGCCCCAGCAGCGCGACTCGACGTACGAAACATCGCATCGCGCCTTGGCGAAGGATTCTGCGCAGACAGACTCGTTTCCCCGTTATAGCATGGTAATGGAGATCTCGCCATTTATGGCCGTTGGTCACTTCAACCCCTACGGCCTGACTGACTCCTGTTCTCACGGCACGCCATTTCTGCGTGTATTGATAAAGACGTTGCTGTTAAACCTCAAGCACGCTCTGGGAATCAGCACAATATCATTCAGAAACTAGCCGGCGGCAATCATGATGACACCACCTACCTTGGCTCGCCTTGCGTACGTGATTCTGTATGTAGACGACATCGACACAGCGGTGAAGTTTTACAAGGACGTGTTCATGTTCGATGTGAGGCGCGTGGACAACAGCAGAAAGTAAGTAATTCTGATGGGATTACACACGCGTAGATAATTTCACGTAAAGTCAATTTGTATCAGTAAAGCTTAACCAACCAAACCAGCTGGGTCCTACAGGTGGGCTGAGCTGGAGACCGGTTCTACGACTCTGGCTTTTACCCCACTGGAGCAAAGGGAAACTAAGCTTACAGGAGGCATGCATGTGCCTGGGGAGCACGAGCAGCGACAGAATATGGATATCAGCATCAGTGTGAGCGACGTTCATGACACTTACCAGGTACACCCACGAGTGTTTACCCACACTGTAGCACCGTTGTGATTCATGGTTCCCTCCCTACGTTTAATTCTGCTTGATCATGCCGTGTGAGAAACTTTTTCTGAGGTGTATGATGCACCCCTGCAGAGGGCTCTCATAGCAGGCGCAAAGAAGATTGCCAAGCCAGAGCAGAAGAACTGGGGCCAGATTGTGGGGTACATTCGTGACTCCTTTGGCATAACTGTTCAGATTGGCTCACACTTGACCTGACCTCCTCCTGATTAGGTGTACTGTACCACCGGTGCCGCCAGCAAGTGTTCTCCTGCTCATTGTGGCCGGGACGGGACTGTCTTGTTGATTGGAAGAATGTGAGTGGGGAGGCGGGTGGATTCCCTACTGAAAGGGAGACGGTAGTGACTTGAGGTCTACACTCTTTTGACAGGGATTCCTCCTGCCGTGCATCTTACCACCAGTAACTTTCTGAGGACATTGAGAGAGTTATCAACTTTCAAGCTTCGATCATACGTGGCTGCAATTTCTGGATCTCCGACAACCAGAAGTACGGAGCAAGTTGACTGATCCACAGGCAGTATGTTTAACAATGCAGGTCCACGTACTAAATGTAGGCACTGTGATAGCCAAGACAACAAATCAAGTCCTGTACAATACAAACAAGTCAGCAGCTCCCATCCAAACAAGTCACGGTGTTCATGACATAAGAATCACAAACAATGATACACAACCTTCCATCATCCTTGTTTGCAATATGCAAACAGTCGGCCAGCACGGCAGCACCAATCCCCGACCCATCCTTTAACAGCTTCATGCTCACAAACCCTGCCACCTCGTTGCCAAGAAGCCACGCTCCCATTCTGTGACTTCACAACCCCCCTCCCACCTCCTTGCCAAGAAGCCCCGCTCCCAATCCCTGACTTCACAAAATTGCACCCGCGGATGACCGCCTCTTCCTAACCCATCCCCTAGCCCATCCCTTCCCTGCATCACTCCTTGTAAGCCCAATGTGAGGCAGCCAGCAGAGCAGCGCCGATACCCGGCCCATGTTTAGACAGCTTCATGCTCACAAACCCCGCCACCTCCTCCCCAAGAAGGCCCGTTATGCATCCCACCTTGCTTTACTCCTTGTAAGCTGAATGCGAGGCAGCCAGCAGAGCAGTCCGATCCCCGATCCCCGATCCCGGATCCCCGATCCGTCCTTAGACAGCTTCATGCTCACAAACCCCACCACCTCCTCCCCAAGAAAACCCTTGCGCATCCCACCTCACTTTACTCCTTGTAAGCCGAATGTGAGGCAGCCAACAGAGCAGCACCGATCCCCGATCCATCCTTTGACAGCTTCATGCTCACACACCCCGCCTCCTCGCCAAGAAGGCCCACTATGCATCCCTCCAAGCTTTACTCCTTGTAAGCCGAATGCGAGGCAGCCAGCAGAGCAGCACCGATCCCCGATCCATCTTTAGACAGTTTCATGCTCACAAAACCAGCCACCTCTTCCCCAAGCAGCTCCTTGAGTGTCTCGTGAATGCCCTCACGGAACGGAGTGTAATGCTCGTACATGCCCCCGTCCACGGCCACCACTGTCCTCGGCACATGCCCCAGACCTGCCCCTGCCTCTGCTCCTGCTTCTCCTCCTGCCGCTTCCCCATCAATAGCTGCTGCTTCTCCTGTGCTTGGCTGGGCCTTCCCATCGCGTCCCAGCTTCTGCAGCACACCCACAATGCCAGCAGCCACCAGGCGAGCGCCTCTCTCCCCGAAAATGCGGCTCACCTCCTGCACCGCCTGGCGCTGGGCCAGTGAGGTGTTGGGAAGCTGCAGGTGAGGGTGATTGAGGGTAAGGGATGGGAAAACGGGAGTGGGAGCAGATGAAATGACAACGCCAGCAGCCACCAGGCGAGCGCCTCTCTCCCCAAAGATGCGGCTCACCTCCTGCACTGCCTGGCGCTGGGCCAGTGAAGTGTCAGTGAGCTGCAAGTGGGGGGAGGGAATGGGGAACATGGGAAGGTGAGTGGATTTGATGACAACGCCAGCAGCCACTAGGCGAGCGCCTCTCTCCACAAGGATGCGGCTCATCTCCTGCACTGCCTGGCGCTGTGGCAGCGGCGTGTTGGGGATCTGTGTGTGTGGGGGGATGATGAACATGACGATGGGGACGCGATCACACTAATGGCAGGAGCAGGGCCAGCACCTCTCTTTCCAAAGTGGGGCTCACCGCCTATATTGCCTGGCGCTGTGGCAGAGAGGAATGTATAAGCACATTGGGGAGGAATGTGTAATCACGTTGGCGTTGGTGAAACGAGAATGTGAAGCAGGAATGATAAGGAGTCACCTGGAGTAAGCAAGTGAAGGTAACAGGTGCGAGGTTACACACCTCAAGAGCCTCTGTGAGCACAGATCCGACTTTTGAGAGGTCTGACGAGGTGTCTTCGTGAATGATTGCTACTTTGGGCGTCCTGCATTACGCAGCACAGGGAAAGAAAATGGCAACAGACAGCAAAAAAGAGTGAATTGTGCTACATCATGCATCAACAAAAGAGCAAAAACGGCGCACTTCAGGCACACCGCCTCTCCCCCCCCAATCAAGCAGCGCCAGGCGCACCACCTCCCCCCCCCCCCAATCAAGCTGCGCCAAGCGCACCACCTCTCCACCCCAATCAAGCAGCGCCAGGCGCACCACCTCTCCCACCCCAATCAAGCTGCGCCAAGCGCACCACCTCTCCCACCACAATCAAGCAGCGCCAGGCGCACCACCTCCCCCCCCCCCCAATCAAGCAGCGCCAAGCGCACCATCTCTCCCACCCCAATCAAGCAGTGCCAGGCGCACCACCTCCCCCCCCCCCCAATCAAGCTGCGCCAAGCGCACCGCCTCTCCCACCCCAATCAAGCAGTGCCAGGCGCACCACCTCCCCCCCCCCCAATCAAGCTGCGCCAAGCGCACCACCTCTCCCACCCCAATCAAGCAGCGCCAGGCGCACCACCTCTCCCACCCCAATCAAGCAGCGCCAAGCGCACCACCTCTCCCACCCCAATCAAGCAGCGCCAGGCGCACCACCTCCCCTTCCCCCCAATCAAGCTGCGCCAAGCGCACCACCTCTCCCACCCCAATCAAGCAGTGCCAGGCGCACCACCTCCCCCCCCCCCCAATCAAGCTGCGCCAAGCGCACCGCCTCTCCCACCCCAATCAAGCAGTGCCAGGCGCACCACCTCCCCCCCCCCCCAATCAAGCTGCGCCAAGCGCACCGCCTCTCCCACCCCAATCAAGCAGTGCCAGGCGCACCACCTCCCCCCCCCCCCAATCAAGCTGCGCCAAGCGCACAACCTCTCCCACCCCAATCAAGCAGCGCCAGGCGCACCACCTCCCCCACCCCCCAATCAAGCAGTGCCACGCACACCACCTCCCCCACCCCCCAATCAACCAGTGCCACGCACACCACCTCCCCCACCCCCCAATCAACCAGTGCCACGCACACCACCTCCCCCACCCCCCAATCAACCAGTGCCACGCACACCACCTCCCCCACCCCCCAATCAACCAGTGCCACGCACACCACCTCCCCCACCCCCCAATCAACCAGTGCCACGCACACCACCTCCCCCACCCCCCAATCAAGCAGTGCCACGCACACCACCTCCCCCACCCCCCAATCAACCAGTGCCACGCACACCACCTCCCCCACCCCCCAATCAACCAGTGCCACGCACACCACCTCCCCCACCCCCCAATCAACCAGTGCCACGCACACCACCCTTCCCCCACCCCCCAATCAAGCAGTGCCACGCACACCACCTCTCCCACCCTCCACGCACACATGCCTGGAATCATATACTGAGATATAGAGTATCTTACTCAAGGGAGTTGGTTTGGAGCAGCTTGGCGGGGACAGCATCGCCAAATAGCTTCGACTTCTGAGCAATGTCCAGCAGGGCCAGACGCACCACCTCCCCCACATACATGCCCGATATCATCTTCTCATAGCGCTGTGACACAGAAAATTATTGGGGTTGTAAACAGAACCAAAGAAGTAAGTGCCAGTTGATGCTTTAAGAGAATCACCTCCCTCCCCCGCGTACATGCTTCATATCATCTTCTCAAAACGCTGTGACATGGGAAAACGGCGGAGCAAGCAGTAAACAGAAGCACTTGATTAAAGCACTAATGGAAAGCAGAGAGAAAGTGAGTAATCAAACGGGATAAGCCTAAAAAACAGATGCACGCGCGGGAGATGGCCCGATGGAAAGTGGCTAGCCGGACCAAGGGTCAAGCCACTCATTGAACTACAATGTAGTGCTTGGCGCTCTTAGAGTCAAGCAGATCGTCATACTCCGTGACAGGCAGATGGCCGGATGGGAAGAGGATGGCTGGGCCAAGCATTCGCCCACTCATTCCCCTGCTATCTGTTGTGCCTGCGTAGCCTCACCTGCTGGCCACAGTTGGCGCTCTTGGAGTTGAGCAGGTCGTCATGCCCTGTCACAGGCAGATGGCCGTATGGAAAGAGGATGGCTGGGCCAGGAGTGCCCCACTTAATGATCTGCTGTCTGTATAGTTCGTGTCTTGCCTCACCTGCTGGCCGCAGTTGGCGCTCTTGGAGTTGAGCAGGTCGTCATGCCCTGTCACAGGCAGATGGCCGTATGGAAAGAGGATGGCTGGGCCAGGAGTGCCCCACTTAATGATCTGCTGTCTGTATAGTTCGTGTCTTGCCTCACCTGCTGGCCGCAGTTGGCGCTCTTGGAGTTGAGCAGGTCGTCATGCCCTGTCACAGGCAGATGGCCGTATGGAAAGAGGATGGCTGGGCCAGGAGTGCCCCACTTAATGATCTGCTGTATGTATAGTTCGTGTCTTGCCTCACCTGCTGGCCGCAGTTGGCGCTCTTGGAGTTGAGCAGGTCGTCATGCCCTGTCACAGGCAGATGGCCGTATGGAAAGAGGATGGCTGGGCCAGGAGTGCCCCACTTAATGATCTGCTGTCTGTATAGTTCGTGTCTTGCCTCACCTGCTGGCCGCAGTTGGCGCTCTTGGAGTTGAGCAGGTCGTCATGCCCTGTCACAGGCAGATGGCCGTATGGAAAGAGGATGGCTGGGCCAGGAGTGCCCCACTTAATGATCTGCTGTCTGTATAGTTCGTGTCTTGCCTCACCTGCTGGCCGCAGTTAGCGCTCTTGGAGCCTAGCAGGTCTTCATACTCAGTGACAGGCAGATGGCCGGATGGGAAGAGGATGGCCGGCCATATCAGGAGTTGCTTGCCCCACTCATTGAACAACAATGTAGTGCGTGCTTAGCCTCACCTGCTGGCCGCAGTTGGCGCTCTTGGAGTCTAGCAGGTCATCGTACTCCGTGACAGGCAGATGGCCGGACCAGAAGTTGCCCCACTCCATGTTGATCACCTAGTAAGGCACACAGGCAGTTACGTAACAGGTGGTAATGGGGGTTCGGGGTTGGGGTTGGGGGGTGGGGTGTAAGGAGTGGGACTTTCATATGGCCGGACCAGAAGTTGCCCCACTCCATGTTGATCACCTAGTAAGGCACACAGGCAGGTACGTAACAGGTGGTAATGGGGGTTCGGGGTTGGGGTTGGGGGGTGGGGTGTAAGGAGTGGGACTTTCATATGGCCGGACCAGAAGTTGCCCCACTCCATGTAGATCACCTGGTGGGGGTGGGGGGAACGAGGCAGGCAGGTGGGAGGACAGGGTGTCGGGTGAAGGAGGATAAGGGGTTCAAAGCATACCATACTAGCTCAACGTCCCATTAAACCTACTAGCCTTACCAGCCCTACAAGCAAACCACGCGGCCAGAGGCCAATCTGTTTGAGACGCCTTAAAAAGAGAGGGTGTGGGGTGGAAGAGGAAAGGCATTCTGAGCATACCATACTAGCTCAACGTCCCATTAAACCTACTAGCCTTACCAGCCCAAGAAGCATACCATACGGCCAGAGGCAGGAGGGGGCCCGGTTTGCCTGACGCTGGTGTCTTGAACCTCCCCGTAACACGCATTGGAGCCTGTGTCTATAACAACCACTCCGAGCAACACTTGTACTGACTAAGGCAGACTCGCCTTAGAAGCATACCATGCGGCCAGAGGCCGGAGGAGGCCCGGTCTGTCTGACGCTGGTGTCATGGGTCTCCTCGTAGCATGCATTGGACCCCGTGCCGAGGATGACTGATTTTAACGACACATGCAGCCTGACTCACATAGACTATTGCTGAAAAGACTGTACCATGCGGCCTGAGGCTGGAGGAGGGCCGGTATGCCTGACGCTCATGTCATGGATCTCCTCATAGCACGCATTGGACCCCGTGCCAAGAATGACGCCCAGCATCACATCCGAGATGACCCCGTGCCAAGATGATTGATACGACCTGCAAATGTTCCGACTACGGCTGAGGTGTAGACTGTACCATTCGACCAGAAGCTGGAGGAGGGCCAGTCTGCCTGACGCTCATGTCGTGAATCTCCTCGTAGCATGCATTGGACCCCGTGCCAAGGATGACCCCCAGCATTACATCGGACTCCACGAACCGCGCTCCTGCCAGTGTGCCCACTGCATCGTTCACCTGCAAAGGAATAAAAAGGTATGGGGTGCAAACAAACTTGATGTTGCGTGCTACAATCACCACCGCTTGAGGCACCTTAAATCACCTAAGCATCACATCTGACTCCACGAACCGGGCTCCTGCGAGTGTGCCCACTGCATAGTTTACCTGGAATGGGATGGAATAGACACGCAATGCTCATGTTATGCAATGTCGATGTGACTGAATGCTCACATTTACAATGCTATTGTTGATACAACGTCCATGATATGCCATGTCAATCTTACACAATGTTCATGTGACGCACTGCTCATGATACGCGATGTTCATGTTGAGCTAAGCTGATGCTGCATAATGTTCAATGTGAAAAACAACAGACTAAAAAAGGGAAGAAAAGAAAAGAAGAAGAAGACGAACAGCAGAAGAAGAAGAAAGACAGAAAGGAAGAAATTAAGAAAAAAAACAAACGTCATATTTTGAAAATATTCTCACCAGAGCCGAGACTTTCATGTCAAGATTCTGCCGTTCAAGGGCCTCCTCTAAAACCTGAACCACATCCCTTCCTTCCTGCACACAGGAGGGACAGCATTCACCAGTAACTCACTGAGAAGCAAATTACATAGCAGTAAAAAGTTCACAAGCGAAAAGATGACCATGACAATAATAAGATGGAAAGCAGAGCAACAAAACATTGCATTGCCTTGTCATCCTTGGGCGACAAAACCATGGTGGTTGCACAGGTGAGTAACCATCTACGCCTCTGAGAATCATCAAATTTGTTTGCACTTTTGAGACGTCTCAAAACAAAACCATGGTGGTTGCGCAGGTGAGTAACCATTTATTTGCACTCACTGTTTCAGGAATGTTGAACCCCTTGGTCCACTTGATAAGTCACCGAGCATTGATAGCCGAGTGCTCGCGGTGCTTGCTCTCTGCTGGTCAAAACTCCTCCTGCACGCCCCCCTCCTCCTCCCTGACCCACTCAAACTCACAGTTTCAGGGATGTTGAACCCCTTGGTCCACTTGATAAGCTTCGGGGCATTGATGACCGTGTGGTCGCACGGGTATGAGAACGTGAACCCCGGCTCGCGGTGCTTGCCCTCTGCTGGTCTTAACTCCTCTTACACCCCCCCCCCCCCCCTCCCTTCCCCCCCACCCCCTCCCCAGTTCACTCAAACTCACAGTTTCAGGGATCTTGAACCCCTTGGTCCACTTGATAAGCCTCCCGGCGTTGATAGCCGTGTGGTCGCATGGGAACGAGAATGTGAACCCCAGCTCGCGGTGCTTGCCCTCTGCTGGTTTGAACTCTTCCTCTTCCTTCGCCACAAATGCAGCCAGCCTTGACGCAATGTAGTCAAACAGAGCCTGCCAAAGACAACAGAAAACAGGATGGAAAATCCATGTAAGCAGCAGTCCTCTGCTGTTTTGAACTCCTCCTCCTCCTTTACTACAAATGCAGCAAGCCTCGATGCAATGTAGTCAAACAGAGCCTGCCAAAGCAGGCAGAAAAGGATACAATAAAACTCTGAGAGAAATAGCACTTTCGGTGAAAGAAGATAGTGAATCTAGAAATATAGCACTCACCTCGGTCGGTCCAGGCATGGGCTCGGGGCTGATGGAAGCGCCCTTAGAGTCAACCTTGCCAATGCCAACGTCCTTATCCAGAGGCGACTGCTAATGCGTCTCAAAAGTCTCACGCAACCCACCTGCATGCTGCCTCTCGTGACCCACCTATGTGACAGCTCACCTCTGTGGTCCCAGTCATGAGCTCGGGGCTGATGGAAGCACCCTCCGAGTCCACTTTGCCAATGCCTCCATCCCTCCCCAGCAGAGGCACTCGCAGCACGCGGAAGTTGGTCCCTCCCAGATCCAGTGCGTAGAACACGCCCTTCTCCGACCTGCACACACTCAGTGGAGTAAGTTACCAGCCAGCCAACCGTCGAAGTTGGTCCCTCCCAGGTGCAGGGCGTAGAAAAGTTTGCTATTGTGTGTGGGTTCCATTGAAAAAAAAAAAAAAAAAAAAAAAAAACAACAACAACAAATAAAAGAGTCGAAGGACATGCACCCGTTAGGGAGACGGTCGACGTAGGAAGGAAGCACCTTGAGCGTGCATCCCTGCGTGCTCCTGAGTCCAGAGACCATCTCCGCTTTCATATCCGCCGCGATCTGCAGCAGCCGCTCTTTTCTCGAGCTGCCTTTCGAATCGACTAAGACATGCACGAATCAGCAAACGCCACGTACCCATCAGGGAGACGGTCGACATAGGAAGGAAGCATCTTGAGCGTGCTCCCCTGCGTGCTCCTGAGCCCAGAGACCATCTCCGCCTTCATATCCGCCGCGATCTGCAGAAGTTTCTCCTTGCTCGTGCTGCACTCCTCCCTTAACCGATCGATCAGCTCCTTCGTCGAAATTGCTGAACTTTCTTTCGACGAGGCGTCATCGCGGCCCGATTTTTTCTTCTGGCAGCAGTAGTAGCGCCGAACGAGGTACACTCCCGCCGCCGTGCCGGCCGCAGCGGCGACAATCAGCAGAAGATTCGTGTACCTTCCCATGTTTAGCAGCCGTACCGATTAAACACTACACGTAGTCGCAGCTCTTAATGTTAGATCTAGATTGGTGCTGGCTAGTTTACAGACGTGGGAACGGCAACTGAGAAGCACGGAGATGGGAGAGGACGTGTGAAAGACAGCAGAAGAGCAGCCAGGAAACGTCAATGGATGAAGAAACCAAGAAGAATTCTGGCGGACTTGAAAGCGAAATCTGGCTGGTGAATCAGGCAAGTGAGAGCTGAAGAATGAATTCAAGCTGAGAAAAGGCAAGCTTGTAACAAGAATGCGACGGCGCGAGTGTTACATGAGCGAGACCAAGAAACGGACCTGCCTGCCTTGACCCAGGGAACCTTGGGAATTTCTCGCCTCGCATTGGTCCGACGGACCCGAGGGCTGAACTGGCACATTCGAGAATGTGGCGAATAGAAGGCTGCACACGTGGCTGGCCCGGGCAATGCAAAATATCGATATGTGGTTTGTGTGACAATGTGACGCTTCCAACAATAGAAATAGTAAATTTGGAAAGCTACTATACATAAAATACACAAGGCTACACACTGGTGATAATAATATAGCGCCGATTACAAACACGGCTTTTCTTCCTTGGCGCTGCTCGTAAATCTTTAACCCCCTTTATTCTCCTCATTTTGCTTCTCTTCCGGATTTTTATTCCGCATTCCTCCCACAGCAGCAGCCTTGGCAGCAGCCATTCGTTTGCTCTCAGCTGTAGTGGGCCGAGCATGGTCCCGCAGGCTCGGCCAGTGTAGGTACAACTGCGCAATGGATAAAAATGGGAAGATAAGAAATGGTGAGTGCATTGGGGCCTTGGGTGAATGACGCACTGATATGAGAGGTAGGGACTGAAGCTGCTAACACCACGTTGAATGCATGGCACTTAGGCACACTGCATATGGCGCATGGCATATAGCATGTGGCGCATGGCAAATGGAGCATGATGCATGTCCCATGGCATGTGGCACATGATGCATGGCACATGGCACACCCATGGAGGGGGAAAGGAGGTGTTGACGCAGGGCAAGACAGAGAGGAACCGCACCAGCAGAGCACACCAGGCAGCACTAAAGCAGGGCACCCACCTGTTGATAATCCAGAGAGTGCCCTTCCAGCAGCAGAGCCACTTGGTGCATGGAGGGGCGGAGGGAGGGCGTGTGGCGCAGGCAGAGCAGCGCAGCAGCAGCCATGCGGTGCAGAGACAGCAGATCCACTGCTCCCTCCACACGCGGGTCCACTAGCAGGTGCAGTCTACCAGAGCCCAGCAGAGGGAGTGCCTGAAAGGGGGTGCGGGGAAGAGGAGGGGGGAAAAGAGATGAACAGCAGGCATGCGGTGTAGTGAAGGCAGGTCCACTGCCCCCTCCACTCACGGGTCCACTAGCAGGTGCAGTTTACCAGAGCCCAGCAGAGGGAGCGCCTGGGGAGAGGGTGGGGGGGCAGAGTGGAGGGGAGAGAACAAGAGAGCAAATGTGAGTTGGCTCTTGGGCGGAGCAGGCAGGCCAGCAGCAGCCATGCGGGGGAGCGAGGGCAGGTCCACTGCTCCCTGCACTCGCGGGTCTACTAGCAGGTATATGTGATGTTTGAGTTGGCTCTTGAGCGGAGCAGCGCAGCAGCAGCCATGCGGTGCAGCGAGGGCAGGGCCACTGCTCCCTCCACACGTGGGTCTACTAGCAGGTGTGGTTGCCCCGAGGTCAGTAAAGGAAATGCCTGGGGAGGGGGGGGGAGAGAGGGAGAGAACGCGAGAGGTGATGCATGCTTGACTCGGCTCTTGAGCACCAGGTGATTCTCTCTTGTCCGTCACACACAAACGAGTGGTCCATCTCGCTTCCTTGACCCGTTGAGGAAAAGGGAGCAACACTCGCCCACTCACCCACCAAAAGCTCCTGTCCCCCACTCTAGGACACTTACCCACGCATCCCTTCACACTCACCCCCACTTTCCCCCTTCGCACACACTCCCCCCTCCCACACTCACCCACACCACCAGGTCCATCCCCTCCTTGCTCCACTCACGCACTCACTCCTCAACCCCCCCTCACCCGACTTCACCCCCCTTAACCGAGCTTCATCCCACCTCACTGCCCTTCACCCCCCCTCACCCCCCCTCGCCCCTCCCCATCCCACACTCACCCACAGCACCAGGTCCATCTCCTTGTGCCGCTCAATCACTCAACCCCCTTACAAACCCCCTAACCCCCCCTCGCCCCCCCGCACCCCTCCCCACCCCTCCAACTCACCCACAGCACCAGGTACATCTCCTCCTTGCTCCATTCGCTCACTCACCCCTCCTCAACCGCCCTCACCCCACCTCACAGCCGCTCACCCCCCATCACTCCTCCCCACCCCTCCAACTCACCCACAGCACCAGGTCCATCTCCTCCTTGCTCCGCCGAGGGTCCACAGGCCTGCGACTCGTTATAAGCTCCAGCAGCAGCACTCCAAACGCGTATGTATCAGTGTGGGTAGACAACCTCCCTCTAAGAAAATACTCGGGGGCCATATACCCCACTGTACCCTCTATAGGCGACTTAATGGATCCGTCTATAGCGGGTTTATTCGCCGCCCCATTTATAGCTAACCCAGAGGCTTGTAAGGGGGATGCGGAGGTGGGAGGGGGAGGGGAGGGGATCCATCTAGCAAGGCCGAAATCAGCAACCAAGGGTTGCCAGTCGTGGCCCACTAGAATGTTGCCTGTCTTGATGTCCCTATGCACTATGCACCCCTCCCCTGCTGCTGCTGCTGCTGCTGCTGCTGCTGCTGCTGCTGCTGCTGCTGCTGCTGCAACAACTGTTGCCGATCCTTCTCCCGTTCCTGCTGCTGCTTCACTAATGCTGCCGCTACAGCCGCTGTTCGTGCTACAGCCATTACAGCCGCTACAGCCGCTGTGGAGATAAGCCAGTCCTCGCGCCGCGCCGACCGCAGCCTGAACACGCCGCTCCCACGGCATCACATCCCTTGTCTTGGAGTGCAAGTTGCGCTCCACACTCCCGTTCCCTGCCAGCTCATACACCATAATATGCTCTCCGCCTTCCATGCAGTATCCCAGAAGCTTCACAATGTTGGGATGGGCGCTTGCCCTCTCTACTATCCGCACTTCAGTCATAAACCTCTCATTCTCCTCTGCTTCCCGAGCCTTCCTCTCCTCTTCTCCTTCTTGTTCCTCTTGGCCATCACCCTCCTCGTTCCCCTCCTCCTTTCCCTCCTCTTTTCCCTCTTTTCCCACCTCTTTTCCCTCCTCCCCACCACCTCCTCCTCTCTTCTCCTTCTCCCTCTCCTCCTTCTCCCTTGCCTGTTTTGCCCGCTCCTTGTCCCTGCTCCTCCCCTTCTTATATACCCTCTTAACCGCCACCCTCACAACCTTACTCCACCCCCCCGAACCCCTCAACCCGCCCCTACCACTGCCACCAACCGCACTGCCACTGCCCGCATGCTCCCCTATAGTAACCTTCAGTTTCCCCTTATAAACATGCGCGTACCCCCCTTTGCCTATCATGTTCTCTCGGGCGAAATTCCCTGTTGCTGCTACAAGCTCTTTGAGAGGGAAGATGCGGGCGGGAGAGTGTGTGGCAGCTGGAAGGGATTGAGACGGGCGAGAGGAGGAGGATAGAGGCTGACCTTGCTGCTGTGTGAGTAAATTCTGGTTTGGAAAGACGAGCTGAAACAGGTCGTCTACTGATATTGGAGTGCTGCTTTTCTCAGCAGAAGGAACAGGACGAGTGGCAGCAGCAGGCACAGGAAAAGGGATCGGCACATCAAGAGGAGACGCCACAACAGCAGCAGCAGCAGCGGCGGCAGCAGAAGCAGCCGCTCCAGATTCCGGGGGGTTGCATGCTGCAAGCTTAACAGCAGGGGCATCAGTGGTTGATTCTGCTGCGTCTGCTGCTGCTTCAGCCGCTGCTGGACCTGCTCCTGCCACCTTTTGCTGGCTCCGCTTGGGTCTGCGCACAGCAGCTGTCTGCTTTGGCACCTGTGCGGCGGCAGGCACTAGCATGCCAGGAGGTACGGAGAGGTTCGGGGCGGTGGCAGCAACAGCTGAGGCGGTAACAGCTTCATTGAGAGTCGTTTCCTCTCCAGGTGCAGCGGTAGAAGCAGCAGCAGCTGCGGAAGCTGCAGAATTATCAGGAATCGCAGCCCCATCAGCAGCGCTGCCAGCAGCAGCACTAGCAGCAGCAGCAGCAGCAGCAGCAGCAGTTGCAACAGCAGTAGCAGTTGCAGCAGCGGAGGCAGCAGCACCAACTCCAGCAGCAACAGGCAGATGCTGGGGCTGAGTCTGGGTCTGAGCAGGCACGTTCTTGGGCCAGGGTCTTCTATTCAGAAGCGCAACGTGCCTGTTGGCAGCCAGGAGACCATCCATAGACCGCCTGGCCCCGCCCCCATGCACACCCCCATTCACCCCTTCTGCCTGCTGCTGTGCTTGCCCTGCAAGGGGATTGGAACCCCCGAAGACAGATATTTGGAGAGGGGCGTGTGGCTTGGCATCTGAGACTGCTGTGCTGTGGGTGTCTGATAGTGTTGAGCCAGCCAGAGTGCCTGCGTGGTGCGCTGTGGATGGTATTTTGAACCAGCCGGTTAGGCCAGGGGAATCTGCAACAGCAACAGCAGCAGCAGGTGTAGCAGCAGCAGCAGTGGTAGCAGCAGTAGCTGCTGCTGCAGTTGAACATGCTGATGCTGATGCGTCGGGATGAGAAGAGATTTGAGGTGGGGAAGAAATAGCAGCAGACGCTGAAGCAGCAGCAGGCACAGCAGTAACGGCAGTATCAGTGGCAGTGACAGCAGCAGCAGCAGCAGCAGTGGCAGTGGCAGCATCATGACCAAAACTTCTTCCGCCCAGTTTCAACAATCCCCTCATGCTCCACCCACCCTTGCCCTCCTCTCTCCTCCCCTCGCCTCCCACTCCTCCCCCAACCCCCCCTTTCTCACACTCCCTCCCACTTCTCTCCCTCTCGTTGCCCTCCCCAACTCCTTCACACTCTCCCCTCTCATCACACTCTCCTGATTGCCTGGGCATACTTGTATCTAATCCCCTCTGCTGCTCTATCCCTAATCCCCCTTTCTCTTGCCCTTCACCAGACTCCTGCTCATCATACCCTTGCGGCTCCTGCTCCTCCTCCTCCTCCTCCTCCTCTTCCTCCTCTTCCTCCTCCTGCCATTCCGTCTGCCCTGCTTCGTGATCTGCCTCACTCCTCCACTCCCCCTCCCTTTGCCCCTCTCCCCTTCTTTGTCCCTTTCCCAGCCTCGACGCTCCTCCTCCCAGCCTTTGCTTATGTATCCTGCTATGCTCTATGTTGATATTTGCTAGATCCGATACCACTTTCACACTCTCATTCACACTCCCACTCACAACCTCACTCCCCTCCCCATATCGACTCACACTCCCACTCTCATAGTAACACGCGCTGCTGCCGCTGGTAACCGCACCGCTGTTCGTAACAAGCCTGCTACTGTTGGTAACCACGTTACCAGAATGGTACGAACCATTCAACCCCCTAGGTCCTGTTCTTACACGACACGAGGGGCGGATGGGAGGAGGGCGAGGGAGGGAAGAGGAGGGATGGTGGTGCTGGGGAGGGGTGAAGGGGGTGTGAGGGAGGAGAGGGAGGAGAGGGAGGAGGAGCAAGAGGTAAGGGTCTCTAATGGTCTATGCATGTACGTGCTGGTGATTGTAGTGGTGGTGGTGGTTCTGCTGTCTACACTCCTACCATCCACACTCCTCCCATCCACACTCCTACCATCTACACTCCTCCCATCCACACTCCTCCCATCTACGCTCCTACCATCTACGCTCCTACCATCCACGCTCCTCCCATCAACACTCCTACCATCTACACTCCTCTCATCAACACTCCTCCCATCCACACTCCTCCCATCCACACTACTCCCATCTAAACTTGCCCTTCCCCACCTGTCCCCCCCTCTGCTATGATCCCTTAAAACATGCCCTTGTGCCCCTGCCCTCGCACGTCTGCTGCTCCTGCTGCCACTGCTGCTGCTCATACCGCTGCCCTGCCTCCCAAGCACACTAGCAAAAGCACCGGCAGCGGCAGGAGCACCTGCAGCACCATCACAACTAGCAGAACCTGCTGCTTCAGCTAAGAAACCTGATTGTCCTGATTGTTCACGCCTTGAACTGCACTCACTGCCTCGTCTTGACTCCCTAAACCGCTGCTGCTGTTGCAATTCTTCGTCCTCTCTTTGCGACGCTACAAAGACTGTGTCCCTGTCACTTCGTGACTCCCCTGACTCCCTGCCCTGCTGCTGCTGCTGCTGCTGCTGCCATTCTCCGTATCTCCCTTCACACACAAGCACCTGTGCCCGCCTCTTTCTCCCCCCCTCCATCCCCGCTACTTTCGCTTCTTCCCTCCCGTCCGCCCTCCCGTCTGTCCTCCTGTCTGCCCTCCGTTCTTGCCCTTCATCTAAGCATTTCTCCTCAACCACCACCTTTTCCTCTCCTCTCCTCTCGTCCCTCCTCTCGTCCCTCTGCTGCTCCTCCAGCTCCCTCCCAGCACTCCCACAACTGCTCCAGCTTGATCCTCCATCTTCCTCCTCCTCCCCTTCCTCCTCCCCCTCTCCCTCCTCGTCCTCCTCCTCCCCTTTCCTCTGCTCCCCCTCCCCTTCCTCCACCTCCTCACAACCCTCCTCCTCCACCACCCTTCCCCCCACTCGATCCCCCCCTTCTTCCTCCTCCTCCTCCTCGGCCCCCTCCCCCTCATCCTCATCCTCCTCCTCTTCCTCCTCCTCCTCCTCCTCTTCCTCCTCCTCTTCCTCCTCCTCCTCCTCCTCTTCCTCCTCCTCTTCCTCCTCCTCCTCCTCCTCTTCCTCCTCTTCCTCCTCCTCCTCCTCCTCTTCCTCCTCCTCTTCCTCCTCCTCCTTCACCCCATGTAGGCTACTCCTGTAGCTCTGAAGACTCACCCCATCATCTGCACAACCCACCCCCATCCCCACAACTGGCCCCACCCTCTTAATATGAGCCTCCCCTTCCCCATGCCCTTCCACCCCTCTCAAACTGATACTATTCCTCTGAACGCCATCCCGTGCTGGCTTCACAGGCCAAGAGGAGGCGGCGGGCGGGTGGGAGGGGGTTGCAGAAGAGCCAGAGGAATGAGAGGAGCGAGTGTGCAGGACAGACGGAGACTTTTGATGAGCCTCAGCAGCTGAAGAGCCAGAGGAATGGGAGGAGCGAGTGTGGAGGACAGACGGGGAGGAGGAGAGTGAAGACGACGGGGTGATCTGCTGGTGATAGTAGTGAGTAACGGGTGTATACGCACCAGCAGCAGCACCACCAGCACCACCAGCACCACCAGCACCAGCAGCACCAGCAGCACCAGCAGAAGCAGCACCAGCACCACCACCAGCAGCACTAGTAGCAGCAGCACTAGCAGCAGCAGCAGCAGCAGCAGCAGCAGCAATCGTGGCTGTAGCTACCTTAGCTGTAGCACTTCTGGCTGGAAAGCTCTTGGCTGTAGCAGGCTGCATAGCAGAAACCCTAGCAGCCAAGCTTTGCTTCCTGGCTACAACCTCGGCTGTAGCAGCTGTCGCTGCTGCACTAGTGCCTGAGCATGCGTTACCAGCTGGACCTGGGTTACCACCTGTGCCTATTACAGCTACAGGGTTGTCATCATAATTACCCTCATTATCATCATAATAATCATCCCCACCAACAGCCGCAGCAGTAACAGCTGCAGAAGTAACAGCCGCAGCAGTAACAGCAGCAGCGGTGAGTTCGGAAGAGGGAGGGTAGGCGACTGGAACGGCAGAGGAGGACAGAGACGAAGAGGAGGAGCCCGAGGGAGACGGAGGAGGAGAGGGACGAGGAGACTCAGAACGCAAAGCAGCAGCGTCGGTACCGCAATCATCAACTCCCAGACCACGATCATCCAGAGCACCACCTTGCGGTTCCAAACACTCCCACTCGCGTGCCGACAGGCGTCCTTTCTGGGCCGACTCACGAGACCCCCGTTCCCAGGCTAACGATTGGGGTTCACTCTGCCTAGGGTTGCTAGGAAGACCTGGGCCTCGGCCTGAGACAGAACCTGAACCTGCACCTGGCCCTGGGCCAGAGCCTGAACCTGAACCTGCACCTGGGCCTACCCTGACTGCTGCTGCAGCAGCGGCGGCCGCAGCGGCAACAGCACTGCTGACAGACGCCCGCCCTGCTGCTGCTGCTGCTGCTAGTCGTGCTGCTGGTGCTGATGCGGCTGCTGATGGTTCCGATCCAACTACTGCTGCTGCAGGCGCTGCTGCTGCTGCTGATGATGATGCAGTGTGTAGAGCAGTGGGACGTGTGGGGCCCAGATGACGACCCTGCTGTTCCCCTGCTGCTCCAGATGAACCAGAGGCGGCAGCATCAGCAGGATAGGCGGATAGAGCCCTCGAACCCACTGCAATGGAAGCTGCAGCAGCAGCAGCAGCAGCAGAAGCAGAAGCAGAAGCAGCAGCAGTCAGGCCTGCAGCATCAACACTCCCAGCCCCAACACTCCCAAAAACTTCTGAAGCAGCAGTAGCACCAGCAGCAGCAGCACCGGCACCACCAGCAGCACCGGCACCACGAGCAGCAACAGCATCCCCAGCACCCCCAGCACCGAGGGTGCGAGCGCGGGTAGCATTAGGCCTGTGGCGGCCCCTTATAGGGTGGTTGGGGTAGCGGAAGTCAACGTTCCCTGACTGCAGCACGACACGTGAAGAGGAGGGGTCGACCACCAGCACCACACAGCCTAAAGGAGGGCGGCGGGCGCAGTAGCTTGCATTGCTGGGGCCTGATTGCCTGTTGGGAGGGTGGCAAGAGGGAGACAGAGAGGATGGGATGGTTGGGGAATCGGAAGTCAACGTTGCCTGACTGCAGCACGACTCGCGAGGAGGAGGGGTCGACCACCAGCACACAGCCTAGAAGGGGGCGGCGCGCACAGTAGCTTGCTGTGCTGGGGCCTGATTGCCTGTTGGTGTGGGGAAGAGAGAAGAAGACACCAAGGGGCGAGTGGGGTGGTTGGGGTAGCGAAAGTCAACAATTCCTGACTGTAGCACGACACGTGAAGAGGAGGGGTCAACAACCAAGACCACACAGCCTAAAGGAGGGCGCCGGGCGCAATATCTTGCTGTGCTGGGGCCCGATTGCCTGTTGGGAGGGTGGCAAGAGGGAGAGAGAGAGAGGATGGGGTGGTTGGGGTAGCGGAAGTCAACGTTGCCTGACTGCAGCACGACTCGCGAGGAGGAGGGGTCGACCAGCAGCACCACACAGCCCAAAGGAGGGCGCCGGGCACAGTAGCTCGCAGAGCTGGGGCCTGATTGCCTGCTGGGGGAACGTGGGGATGGAATGGGAGACGACCAGGCGTTGAGACCTGACTGCAGCACGACTCGCGAGGAGGAGCGGTCCACCACCAAGACCACACAGCCCAGGGGTGGGCGCCGGGCGCAGTAGCTTGCTGTGCTGGGGCCCGATTGCCTGTTGGGAGGGTGGCAAGAGGGAGAGAGAGAGGACGAGGTGGTTGGGGTAGCGTAAGTCAACGTTGCCTGACTGCAGCACGACTCGCGAGGAGGAGGGGTCGACCAGCAGCACCACACAGCCTAGTGGGGGGCGCCGGGCAAAGTAGCTTGCTGTATTGTGGCCCGATTGCCTGTTGGGAGCGAGAAACGAAAGAGAGTGAGACAGGGGAGGAGGTTGAGGAGGAGGGATCCGCCAGCAGCACCACACAGCCTAGAGGAGGGCGCCGGGCACAGTAGCTTGCAGTGCTGGGAAGCGATTGCCTGTTGCTGGTGTGGGGGGGGAAGAGAGAGAGGGAGACAATGGGGGAGGATGAGGAGGAGGGGTCCACCACCAGCACCACACAGCCTAAAGGAGGGCGGCGCGCACAATAGCTTGCAACGCTGCTCCCACCAGAGTGCCTGTTCGAGGGGAGAAGTGGATGAGATGGAAGAGGACAAGGCGTTGAGTCCTGACTGCAGCACGACACGCGAGGAGGAGGGGTCCACCACCAGCACCACACAGCCTAGAGGCAGCAGAAGCAGCAGCAGGAGCAGCTATTGCTGCTGCTGCTGCGGCGGCAGCAGCGAATGAACAAGACTCACCTTGACTTGCCGATCTGCATTCCTCCGACCACACTCATCCCAGCCACCCCGGCTGCTGCTGCGCCTGCTGCTGCGGCCTCCCCCCTCCGCCTCTCCTCCCGTGCCCCCTCCCCTTCCCCCTGAGCGTTCTCCTTGCCCTTGCCCTTACGCCCCTGCCCCCCCAGCAACAGCGTGGTTGCAGAAAGGGAAGCTGCCTCTTTCAGGAGCGTGTGTGGGACTGTCTTGCCTCGCACTATACGCACCTCCACCTCCATCTGCAGGGGAAGGGTGGGAGCGGAAACAGGGGTATAAAGGGGCGGGGAGGAGCCCAGCAGCCTCTTTCAAGAGCGTGTGGCACTGACTTGCCTCGCACTATACGCACCTCCACCTCCATCTGCAGGGGAAGGATGGGAGCGAAAACAGGGGTACGAAGGGGCGGGGAAGAGCCCAGCGGCCTCTTTCAAGAGTGTGTGTGGCACTGACTTGCCTCGCACTATACGCACCTCCACCTCCATCTGCAGGGGAAGGGGGAAAAGGGAAGCAGGGGGGCGAAGGGGCGGGGAAGAGAGCCTTAGCCTCTTTCAAGAGCGTGTGCGGCACTGACTTCCCCGCACTATACACACCTCCACCTCCATGTGAAATGCATCGAAGGAAGGGGAAGGGATGGAGGGGAACGGGAGGGGAGGGCGGGGAGGTGACGGGAGGAAAGAAGGAAGCAAGGACCTAATGAGACCCCACGCGACCTCATGCGAAAAACTTATGCGGCATGAGGAATCTGAAGGAATGACTCAGTGTGCACTTAGCTGCAGGATGAACTCACCCCAGCTGCTCTGCAGTGTCGCCTGTGGGGTTTGAGCAGGCGAGCGACCTCGTGTGACATGTGCAGGTTGTACCCTCCCCACCACGCTCTTTCCAAATGTAAAGGACTCACCACAGCGGCTACTCACCCCAGCTGCTCTGCAGTGTCGCCTGTGTGGCTTGAGCAACCGAGCGACCTCGTGTGACATGTGCAGGTTGTACCCTCCCCACCACGCGCGCTCCCTGCTCTTCACCTCGCGCTTGTCGCTGCGGCCTGAGGGAACGGGGAGGAAGGGAAACAGAAGGGAGTGGGGGGAAGGAAGGGGATAAGGATGGCCTCGGTTGACATGTGCAGGTTGTGCCCTCCCCACCACGCGCGCTCCCTGCTCTTCACCTCGCGCTTGTCGCTGCGACCTGCCAGTAGCAGGGAGGAAGATCGGGAGTGGAAAGGGGATAACGGATGGCCTTTTGTGACCTCATGTGACATGCGCAGGTTGTACTACCCTCCCGCCCCACCCCACCACGCGCTCCTTATCCCATCTGCTCGCCGCAAGCATGAATGCAATGTATTGACAAGAGACGCTGTCGTGTCGAGCAGAGGGAATAAAGTATGTTTCTGCTGGGCACGACTGGGACTCATATCGAGCCACTCACGCCTCTGACTGCTCTCCATGGCTTCCACCTACCACTGCTCTCTCCCACCCTTTCAAACAGTTCTTAAACGGGACGCAAACCAGGTTACCCACCTGGACCGGACTGAACCAGAGGAGTGACGGTAGCGACGTGTACCAGCACCAGCTTGCCGCCTCGCTTCACCATATTCTCAATCGCGAAGTCCACGATCTTCTGACCGCTTTCATTCACATCTACACCCACCACCACCACTCCCCCGACTCTCTGCCGTATCCTCTCCCGTTCCTCCGCCGCTTTCGCCGCTTCCTTCGCGAGCCGCTCCTCGTAACGCCGTTGCTTCGCCTTGCGGAGCGTACGTACGTCCGGGTCGAGGTTCGGGTCGTCATCGGAGATGTAATCGTCGATGTAATAGTCGTACTTGTCGTTGTGTATGGGAGCGACGGAGAAACACGAAACCATGGCTCTCAGCGTTACAACTGGATTTGCTACCACAAACGAGATCTCTGTAAACGAGTACAGACTCTAATTTACATCAGGCGAGTCGTAAAGGTGACAGTCAGCGCAATAGTCGTAGTTGAGGTAAAGAATATTAGCAATTGTGAAGCGTGATACCATAGCTGGATGCTGCAGTTGGGCATTAACCTTTCGAGTCAAACACTACAGGGAAAATCAGTGCGGTAATGATATTTTAGGCTACTCGAGCTATCGAGAAAAGGACGGCATTGTGGAAACAATTAGCCGACGGGAAAGTCACCAATACATAAATTACAGTTGTTTCTAGGAGACAACCTAAGCCGGCCTTGTCTAGACCGGAACCACTTCAAACTGTCTACGGACGAACAAACTCGCAACAAGCTGAAAGCAGAGTCTTTCTTCCCTTCACCGACAAAAATGGGACCTTGCCTGCCTGTGTCAGCCATGAAATACAGCCGTGTGTCTTTGCCCTGACCTGAGTCCTGACCCAGTTCAGATGTACGCTGCGTGACGTATTCGGGAGGACCAACGGAAAAGCTCGAAATTAGGGTTTCTGCTCCCACCCGCAGCTGCAGGCTAGCAAGCGGGCGAGCGGGCGAGCGGGCGAGCAGGCAAGCGGGCGAGCGGGCGAGCGGGCGAGCGGGCGAGCAGGCAAGCGGGCGAGCGGGGGATCGGGGAACGGACAGTCGGACGATTTGGGATGGGAGAGCGGAGGTGGTACAGTTGTAACGCGTACAGTTCGGAATGGGGAGCTGCTTGCTGCTGCCCCGTTCGTTCGTACGATCGCTCGACGCTCGCACTGCGTGGTGGGTGCCGTTCCATCCACCAATGATGGGGGACGGTGGGAGAACCTAGGGCGCGTCCTCTCCCACGATCGATATCGACCGCACTGAAACCCCGCTTGATGCATTTACCAACTAGCATAACTCTTGCGCAGGATCCATCGAGATAAAACACGCATTCGGGGTTAAAATCGGTTCCGGTAGTTTTGAACATAGCAAGGAGTATTTCAGTGCGGTGGAGGTTCGATTTCGCGGTGTCGACCGCAGGTTCGGTGGGGATAAGACGCGACGAAAAAGTGTCAGGAATGGGATTCGAACCCATGCCCTTTCGGACCAGTACCTGAAACTGGCGCCTTAGACCAACTCGGCCATCCTGACATGCTGTGAGCATGTACTTGAACCTACAATCCTAGAATAAAACACAATGTGAATAGATACTAGTTATGGTAAAAAAAACTGGCTGGTGTGCCTTCTTGCATCAAACTGATACTGACAGTGAATCGCTCTGTCCTGAGCAATTGCTACAGTGCACATGTTACTGTACAGGTGCTATTCCTCTTCTGAGTCCGAGTTTGCGCCGACACCGGCAGGCAGCAGGTTGAGAAACGGGAGCACGAGCAGAGAGGAGAAGTTGCAGATGGCGATGAGGGTGGGGAGGTTGGTGAAATTGGTGCTCGTCACTCCCAGCCAGTTGGTCAGCCCAGCGCCAATCACCCCCCCAAAGACGCTCGCGCCGTTGCTGACAGACATGAGCGTTGCGAAGAGAGTTGCTTCGATGCCGGGTGGGCAGACTCGAGCTGCTAACACCAGCACTGGCATGAACGAGATCTGAAGGGGGTGGGGGTTGGTCAACATGAGTGTGTGTGGCAAAAAGAGTTGCTCCTAACAGGCAGGCTTTGATGGCAGCCGGGCATAAGAGAGTTGTGGTGGCATGCGTGATATTTGAGTGGGAGGGATGAGAGTTGCGGAATGCGATGAGGAACAGGGAGGAGGGATGGGGAGGTGTGAAATAGAGACCTCCTGGCTTCCATTCACCCCTCGTAGCCATCCATCGCAAGCCTGTTAGTTTTGAGTCGACTCAGTTACGTCAACAGCCCAGGTCTCACCTGCCCCAGTTATTACCTGCCCCAGGTCTCACCTGCCCCAGCACTGTGAGTATGAGAGAGTCTCCCAGCAGAAAGTACTGGTCGCTGATTCCCAGAGAGCGGTTGAGACCAGTGACAAGGAGTAGCTGAGACGAGGTGGACAATGCATGGGGAGAATGCATGGGAAGAAAGGTGGCTGTGAGTGACGCAAGGGCGTGTAGCAGCATGCACGCAGCTAGAGTCAAGCAGCATGGAGTCACTTCAGAGAGTTGCCAAAAGTGACGCCGCACCCGCCCAGAACTGTCTCGGGTGCTGAGACTCACTATATTCGGCTGTCCCCCCACACCACGTCGCACCTGTGTGGAGCCTAGAATGGCCCCAGCAATGTTGGTCCAGAGGAACAGCTTTCTCAGAGGCACTTCTTTGAGGTAGAAGTTGAACACCCCCACCCCTGCTAGCGAGGCCAAGGCTGATGGTTGCCTTGCCTGATTGCTTAATGGCTCAGCGATGTTGGTCCAGAAGAACAGCTTTCTGAGTGGCACCTCTTTAAGGTAGAAGTTGGACACTCCCACCCCTGCCAGCGAGGTGAGGAGTGCTTGTAGCCTTATGTGAGCCAACCATAGGCATGCACCATGTACCTGGGGTGGGGGGAAAGCCTTGCTTTCTCACCTGTGTGGAGCCTAGAATGGCCCCAGCAATGTTGGTCCAGAGGAAGAGCTTCCTCAGAGGCACCTCTTTGAGGTAGAAATTGAACACCCCCACCCCTGCTAGCGAGGCGAGGAGTGCTTGTTGCCTTATCTGATTGCTTAATGGCTTACCTGTGTGGAGCCTAGAATGGCCCCAGCGATGTTGGTCCAGAGAAAGAGCTTTCTCAGAGGCACTTCTTCGAGGTAGAAGTTGAACACCCCCACCCCTGCTAGCGAGGCAAGGAGTGCTTGCTGCCTTAATAACCCAACCTACCAAAGCGATGAACAACCATTGTTGCCCTGGAGACGATTGGTCCCTGTCTCACCTGTGTGGAGCCCAGGAGTGCACCAGCAATGTTGGTCCAGAAGAAGAGCTTCCTGAGAGGCACTTCTTTGAGGTAGAAGTTGAACACACCCACCCCTGCCAGGGAAGCAAGGGCTGTCACGAGACGCACGCGGCCCAGGAACTCAGGGCCGAAGCCCAGCTCGTTGGTGCTGGGGGAGGAGGGAAGGAACGGAGAAGGGAATGCGTGTTTGAGCTAGCAGAGCAGCCTTGAGGTGTGTCCAAACAGCTGCCAGCGAAGCCAGGGTGGGCACGAGGCGGACACGGCCCAGGAACTCAGGGCCGAAGCCCAGCTCGTTGGTGCTGGAAAGGTAGGAGGATCGGAAGTGGGGGAGAGTGTAAGTGGGGGCTAGAAAAGGAAACGCGATCAGGAAACTCAGGACCGACCCCTCTTCACTTTCCTTGACTTCCGTTGACTTGACTCCCCTCGACACCCACACCTCCCTCTTGCCTACCCCCACGCCCACGCCCACGCCCACTCCCATACCCACAGCAAGCACTCACGTGAAAAAGAACATTGCGGTTTCAGAGTGCGGAGTGGCCTGCCAGAGGAAGATGAAGGCGGTGGGCAGCAGAATGGCCGGCTGGCGAATGGTCTCCCACAGAAACACCACCTGCCCCCACGACCACGCCCACGTCTCCCCCGCTCCGCCCCCTGCTGCTACCACTCCTCCTCCCACTGCTCCTCCTTCCCATCCTTCTTCCCCTCCTCTGTCCCCTCGGCCTTCTCCTATTCTTTCGAAGTCTCCCCTCGTCCCTCCTGCTGCTGTGCCAGTGGTTGTACTATCCTTGTTGGTGGTAATCCTAGTGCTTGTGGTAACCCTCTCCTCTGGGACGTAGAATCCAACAGCCGTGGTGATGAGAGGCAGTAGGGCCGTCACTCCGAACACAAACCTGGATGGGAGGGGTGCACAGAGGTATAGTGGGGTTGAGTACGGAGTGCTGTGGAGGGCGGGTGGGTGGATGATGTGGAGGAGCAGGGCACCTGTGGTAACCCTTTCCTCTGGAACGTAGAATCCAACAGCAGTGGTGATAAGAGGAAGCAGGGCCGTCACTCCGAACACAAACCTGGATGGGAGGGTACAAAGGGGTGTAGTGGGGTTGAGTACGGTGTGCTGTGGAGGGTGGGTGGATGATGGGGGGAGCAGGGCACCTGTGGTAACCCTAGTGCCTGTGGTAACCCTCTCCTCTGGGACGTAGAATCCGACAGCAGTGGTGATGAGAGGCAGCAGAGCTGTCACTCCGAACACAAACCTGGGAGGGGCACAACGAGGTGTGGTGGGGTTGAGATGGATGGGGAGCGATGATAGGAGATGAGAAAAGAGGGGCTGTTGCTCTGGAAACTATGCTGAGAAGAGCACAATGGGATGATATGATGTGATGTGATTTGATGTGATGTGATGTGATGGGTGCCATTCCTTATGTGCCCTGCCTGCCCTTCATACCCCCCCCCCCCCCCCTTCCTTGACTACTCACCTTGTACCGTACTCTATCAGCGAGCCACTGAAATACGCTGAGAGCACAGCGCCCACTGCGGACGACCCCCAACACAGCGACTGCAGCCCGCCTGATGCGAAGTGATGCGATGCGATGCGATGTGATGCCATGTCATGTGACGTGATGTGATGCGATGCAATGCGATGTGATGGGTGCCGTTCCTTGTGTGCCCTGCCTGCCCTTCACAACCACCCCCCCCCCCCCCCCCCCCCCCATCCCCCCCCCTTTTCACTCACCGTGTGCCATAATTTTCAATAAGCGAGCCACTGAAATACGCTGAGAGAACAGCCCCCACTGCTGACGACCCCCAACACAGCGACTGCAGCCCGCCTGACGTGGCCTGGGACTCGCCCCTTGCCATCTGCACCACCATTGAGTCTACCACCTGAGGGCAGTGGGGGGGATAGAGAAGGGAGAGTAGGGTGGAATAGCGCGCCTGACGTGGCTTGGGACTCTCCCCTTGCCCTCTGCACCACCATTCAGTCTACCACCTGAGAGCAGTGGAGGGGTTTGGGGGTGGTTGAATCGAACATTTGAGCAGTGCGTATGAAGGGAAAACGCTTGATGTGGCCTGGGACTCGCCCCTTGCCCTCTGCACCACCATTGAGACTACCACCTGGGCTAACAGCGGCGTTCTTATCAACCACCAACACAATGCACCACACACCACTGTACCACACAACGCCGCACTCCACCGTGCATCACACCACTCACCACGTCAGAGACAGCAGCAGAGAGCGAGGAGAGCAGAATCATGGCGACAGCAGAGTACTTATCCCCCACCACCGTGGCCAGCGCTCCCCATGCCAGAGACCCCAGCAGCTCACACGCCACCAGGTAGGAGCGACGGCGATAGCACGACCACCACTTAGCACCACACAATACCATACTACACTGCACCATATAGCACCACTCACCACGTCAGAAACAGCAGCGGAGAGCAAGGAGAGCAGGATCATAGCGACAGCAGAGTACTTATCCCCCACCACCGTCGCCAGTGCACCCCATGCAAGGGACCCCAACAGGGTACAGGCCACCAGGTAGGAGCGACGGTGGTAGCCCTACCGCATCGCATAGCACCGCATAGCACCACTCACCACGTCAGAAACAGCGGCAGAGAGCGAGGAGAGCAGAATCATAGCGACAGCAGAGTACTTATCCCCCACCACCGTCGCCAGTGCACCCCACGCCAGAGATCCCAACAGCCCACAGGCCACCAGGTAGGAGCGACCGCACCACATAGCCCCGCATAGTACCACTCACCACGTCAGAAACCGCAGCCGAGAGCGAGGAGAGCAGAATCATGGCCACAGCAGAGTACTTATCCCCCACCACCGTCGCCAGCGCTCCCCATGCCAGAGACCCCAACCAACAGCCCCCACATGGTAGGAGGAACGGCGACAGTAGCCCCACCGCACCACATAGCACCGTATAGTACCACTCACCACGTCAGAGACTGCAGCGGAGAGCGAGGAGAGCAGAATCATGGCCACAGCAGAGTACTTATCCCCCACCACCGTCGCCAACGCACCCCACGCCAGCGATCCCAACAGCCCACAGGCCACCAGGTAGGAGCGACGGCGATAGCCCTACCGCACTGCATAGCACCGCCTAAAACCACTTACCACGTCAGAAACCGCAGCAGAGAGCGAGGAGAGCAGAATCATGGTAACAGCAGAGAACTTATCCCCCACCACCGTCGCCAGCGCACCCCACGCCAGCGACCCCATCAGCTCACAGGCGACAAGGTAGGAGGAACGACGACAGTAGCCCTACTACACCACATAGCACCGCATAGCACCACTCACCACGTCAGAAACCGCAGCGGAGAGCGAGGAGAGCAGAATCATGGCCACAGCAGAGTACTTATCCCCCACCACCGTCGCCAGCGCTCCCCATGCCAGCGACCCCAGCAGCCCACAGGCCACCAGGTAGGAGCGACGGCGGTAGCCAAAGAGAGGGATACCATCACTGATGAAGCCGTAGATGGGCTTGATGAGCCAGGGGAGGGAGGAGAGGCCCGAAAGGACTGCCACCTGCAGGGAAATACGGGGAAGATACGGGAGTAGGGGATGATTACAAGAGCAGGGGACCACAGCAGCCCACAGGAGACAAGGTAGGAGCGACGGCGGTAGCCAAAGAGAGGGATGCCGTCGCTGATGAATCCAGATGTGGGCTTGATGAGCCAGGGGAGGGAGGAGAGGCCTGAGAGGAAAGCCACCTCACGGGACGGGTGGGTGGGGTTGGATTAGAACAATGGGAAAAGAGGATGAATGCAGGCGGTAGCCATAGAGAGGAATGCCGTCACTGATGAAAACTGAGAGGCTTTGAGTGTGTAACAACACACTTATCACATGGATATTCCAATTTCTTCACACTTACATAGCAATGACACATTCATAGCAACGTTTCTCACCTCGGCAGGGTCGAGCCCGAAGTCGTCTTTGAGCAGGAAGGTGACGGCAAGGCGAGCCAGCTCCAGCACGCTCAGAGAGATAAACATACGACCCCAGGCGCACCCACCTCGGCAGGATCAAGGCCGAAGCCGTCTTTGAGCAGGAAAGTGACAGCAAGGCGAGCCAGCCCCAGCACGCCCTGCACGAAGTACACACTCGCGATCGCCACCACCTCTGGGGAGACGGCCTTCGTCCAGCAGTCCGCTTAGAGACAAACACACCCACCCCACCCCGCCCCACCCCACCCCCACCCCCACCCCCACCCCCTCACATAAGCACTCACCTCAGCGGGGTCGAGGCCAAAGTCATCCTTGAGCAGGAAAGTGACAGCAAGGCGAGCCAAGCCCAGCACGCCCTGCACGAAGTACACACTCGCGATCGCCACCACCTCTGGGGAGACAGACCCACGCAAGCCCAGCAAAGCGACTTCATGCACACATGCACACACAGAGACGCACTGACCTCGGCAGGGTCAAGCCCGAAGTCATCCTTGAGCAGGAAAGTGACAGCAAGGCGGGCCAGCCCCAGCACGCCCTGCACGAAGTACACACTCGCGATCGCCACCACCTCTGGGGAGACGGCGCTTGCTCTCTCCACCACCCACGCGGGCACACCCGCGGAGAGAGCGCGGAGAGAAAGCTCTGAAGGCGCGGAGAATTCCCCCCTTGGTGACGCCTGTCCCCCTGCTGTATGTTCCCCTGCTCTGTATTCCCCTGCTGTCTGCTCCCCTGCTGTCTGAGAGGCGGCTGCCTGTAAGCTGGCATCAGCTGTCGTGTACTCTGGCTGTGAAGCGTCTGCTGCTGCTGCTGCTGCTGCTCTTGCTGGTGATCGTGTTCATGCTTGTGTTTGTGCTTTCGAGGTGGTACGTCAGGGAACGCCTCTGCAGGTTGGGAAGAGAAGAGGGGAGGGGACGGAAGAGGTGGTGGGGACAGGGTAAGGAGAAGAGACGGTGCTGGTGCTGGTGCTGGTGACTGTGCTTGCGTGGTGGAATGTCAGGGAACGCCTCTGCAGGTTGCGAGGTAAGGAGAGGGGGAAAAGGGGTGTGGGGGGAGAGGGTGAGGAGGAGTGTCATCGGAGGAAGAGAGACCATAGGGGAGGGAAGTGAGTGAGGATGGGCTGTGACTCAGTGGTCTGTGCTGGCTTTCTGCTGTAGGTTGTTTTTCAGGATTCCCAGAATCAGCCTACAATAATAGGGGAGTGAGTGAGGATGAGCTGTGACTCAGTGGTCTGTGCCGGCTTTCTGCTGTAGGTTGTTTTTCAGGATTCCCAGAATCAGCCTACAATAATAGGGGAGTGAGTGAGGATGAGCTGTGACTCAGTGGTCTGTGCTGGCTTTCTGCTGTAGGTTGTTTTTCAGGATTCCCAGAATCAGCCTACAATAATAGGGGAGTGAGTGAGGATGAGCTGTGACTCAGTGGTCTGTGCCGGCTTTCTGCTGTAGGTTGTTTTTCAGGATTCCCAGAATCAGCCTACAATAATAGGGGAGTGAGTGAGGATGAGCTGTGACTCAGTGGTCTGTGCCGGCTTTCTGCTGTAGGTTGTTTTTCAGGATTCCCAGAATCAGCCTACAATAATAGGGGAGTGAGTGAGGATGAGCTGTGAATTAATGGCTTGTGCCGGCTTTCTGCTGTAGGTTGTTTTTCAGGATTCCCAGAATCAGCCTACAATAATAGGGGAGTGAGTGAGGATGAGCTGTGACTCAGTGGTCTGTGCCGGCTTTCTGCTGTAGGTTGTTTTTCAGGATTCCCAGAATCAGCCTACAATAATAGGGGAGTGAGTGAGGATGAGCTGTGACTCAGTGGTCTGTGCCGGCTTTCTGCTGTAGGTTGTTTTTCAGGATTCCCAGAATCAGCCTACAATAATAGGGGAGTGAGTGAGGATGAGCTGTGAATTAATGGCTTGTGCCGGCTTTCTGCTGTAGGTTGTTTTTCAGGATTCCCAGAATCAGCCTACAATAATAGGGGAGTGAGTGAGGATGAGCTGTGAAGTAATGGCTTGTGCTGGTTTTCTCCAAGCCGAAATGGCTCTGCGAGTTATGAAACCGGGTTACCTCATAACCACACCTCGGATGTCGTCGCCTTCGATGACCGACTTCGCACGGCAGCTGAATCGCCTCATCCGCGATTGGCGAAGGCCATTGCATCCTAACCATTGATTTCCGAAACTCCGGCCGTTGAATTCGGAGGCCAGCGATTGCCGAAATATGACACTACGATGGGACAAAGCACGAGGAGAGGAGGCGATTGATTGCCGAGCGGTACAGAAACTACTCAGTGGGAAACCACCGCAAGTTGAGCGGCCTGTTGCCGCCAGTTCAGCCATTCCTCCGATGCACACTCCGCCGTATCAGAAGACCAGCGGACAAGATGGCGTTGTCTAAAGGATACACGACTTCTGGAATGGCTTCACAAACCGTTCAGACAACACATTATTTTCGAGCGTTGTAGAGCTTCGGATAACCAACTGCTCTAGCCAGAACCTGACGAGTCGAAATTGCCGCCGCCTGTTTTGTGACCAGGATATGCACATGGATAGAATTGCTGGTGCTTGTCTCGGGTGAAAGCGGAATTCCCGAGATTGGTTTTGACGTGGCTGAATAGAATGCTTTACGCTTCAGAGCTCTGACAAAGGCTTTCAAGGCGGTACGGTGGGGTACCTAGCAGTAATGAACTTCCTGGGTGACCAATCACCGAGCGCGAACAACCTGGTAGCTTGTCAGTGTTCGTTGTGATAGGTTCAATTTTGGGAGAAGATCAACGAGGGGCCGAACAGTGGCAGAGGGGTGATCAACCAGGGGCCGAAAGGCTCGGAACTTACCAGACCGCTGCTAGAGGAGTTTTTAACAGAAGTCTTTGTTTATTGCGCAAATTTATGTCAATAGTGGCGTGTACCGGCTCGCATTTTTGCCCTCGTGTCGTTTAGCGGGCCGACTCCACTGGGAACAATTAGGGCAGCCAAAATAACTGAGGGTGCGTTCCTGGCGCGTGTCAAGCTTCCGGTCATCCGCGGATGACCGGAAGTTAGACCCACTTTGGGTCATCCGAGACCAACTTCGGGTCTTCCGGCCAAAAATTGCCCCTGTTTCCGGAAAACACAAGGTTTGACAGGAACTTTAACCCAAAGCTTCGGGTCTTCCCGGGAAGGCCCGAAGCTTGACACCAGCCAGGAACGCACCCTAAAACTCATAGAGAACGTGGATGCATTTTTGGGATGGATCAACCCTAAAAACGAAAAACTTCCTGGTATTTAGGGTTGATGCCTCTCGAGTCGCATCCGTTTCCGAGTGGGTAATATATTTTTTTTCTTGTGCGTTTACTATCGGGTAGGTGATATGTATCCCCCAGAATATAATATGTAGCGCCCGGTAGCGCTACTGACTGATTCAGCACGCTGCCCGCGGGCAAAAAAAATAAACCCCATGGCTTACGGCATGCCATTCGGGAGCCTCAACCCTAAAATTTTAGGGTTGAGGCTCTCTCGGATGGCATGCCGCCGACTGGGGTTTATTTTTTTTTCTTGCCCGCGCTGACTCATTGCACTGCCTGCTTTCGCAGGCAGTGCAAGATATATTCCAGAATATAATATGTTATACGTACTCACGATCTACCAGAAGAAGGCGACGCGCGCGTTGTAGTAGACGGAGGTCTAAACCAGAACAAAATAAGATGAATACAATTGTTGGTTCTTCTTGCAAATCTCTTTTACTCACGGTTCGGCGTAATCGCCTAGTCGTTTAGGCAGCTCTGGGTCGAAATCCTACGGTCGAGATTTACCGTCCCTACTTTGATCACCCTTCTGGCACTGTTCGGCCCCTGGTTGATCTTTTCCCTTACAGTTTTCGAAGTAGTGACACGTGGCATCATCTCGCTCTGTACGATGAATCTGAGTTCGAAACAAGGGGAAGAGGAAATCCTCGTTATACTTCGGATGCGGCACTCTATAACTCTTACAACTGAAAATTGATCAGTCAGATTAATAACAGAAAGAGTCCGTTTTCCAACTCGAGCGTTGCGAGCGGCAGTTGCGGAATGGCGTCTAGTTCAAGCTCGCGTCGCGTTGGACAGGCGTTCTTAGCAGCGTCTCCGTCCTTCACGCGCTCGGCTTTCCAGCCTCGCCTCGCGATCCTGGTCTAGTCGTCGCTTCGATCCGAGCACACTCCGTGAAACAACTCGCGCATCCCTGCAGCCAAGGCATCCCGAGCTCATTTCATCCCCGCGAATTGATTCAGCGCCCGTTACTGTCACTATCTCCAACTTTTCGCCATGTGTCGTCCCAGTCCGTCTCAGTTCCAACGACCCGTCACCATCACTGGCATTTACAGTCACTTCTCTCAGCAACCCGAATTGCCCGACCAACGATCCACGGTCCAGATCTCTCCTCCGCATCGCCAGCCGTCGTTCCCGTCCGCTCACTCAATATCTTCACTGTTTTCCGGAAGGAATCGCGAGATACGGAGATAGAACGCTTGAAGGACGAGTTGAACCGCGGATACTTCGACGATTTTAAAGAACTCAAGGAAGCTGCCGGGAAACTGGGCCCTTTACCTACCTCGTCGCCGCTTCCAGCCGCTGGAGCCGCGTTGTTTCCGCGAATCACGGGAACCACGTCATCCAGGGCGTCAGTGGAGCTGCCTCTAGGTCTGCAGGGTGACACGTGTCGAGTGGTGCTGGTCTGCGTGGCGTTCCGTGCAAACACTCAGGTAATTATGTCTGCTTCTCTACTTCCCGCTAAATTTCAGGTGGATACAGGGAGCAGTAACTCACAAAAAAGCAGGAAATCTTCCTTTCTGAAGTGGCTGGGAAATCCACCTGCCTTTAATGAAACAGCTGACATTCCTCTCTTGTACAACGTTCCCCTTTCACTCCACTGATATCATACCACCAGTATGCCTCACTCCCAAGCCGCTCCCATCAAACCCTCAGTTCAACTCTTGTAATTTCCTATTTTTCACCCTCTGTTATTCTTGCTGTTCAGAGCATGGTAGGGTCATGGCTAAAACCCTTCCTCCAGCACGCCTCCAGCAGCTCATCTTCCGCCAATCCCTCACCTTCAACCCCTTCCCACACTTCTGCGCCGGCTTCCACCGCACCCGACTCCTCTCAACCCACGGATACCCCACCCCACCGCTTTCTACCGGGCTCTGTGCGCGCGGTGCACATCTCGTGGATCGAGTCTTGGCTGCTGTCAACCCGACCCATCCGATCCTGGCTGCTCAGCAGCTTGCGTGGAGCTGAGGCCAAGCAGCAAGCACGCTTGGCAGATGCTGTTGGTTCAGAGGGAGTGGATGGGGTGCTGACTAATTTGTATGCGTTTGGTGATACGTGGGAGTTCAGGAAGAGACTGGGCATCGTTAACAGGCTCACGGGGTGAGTTCTCCCATTACTGTCACTATCGCCACCTTTTCGCCATGTGTGGACCCAGTTCATCTCCGTTCCAACGCCCCGTCACGATCACTGGCATTCACAGTCACTTCACTCCGCAACCCAGAGGGAGTGGTTGGGGTGGGGTGCTGACGAATGTGTATGCATTTGGTGACGCATGGGAGTTAAGAGACTGGGCATTGTTAACAGGCTCACGGGGTGAGTTCTCCTCTGCACCTAATCCGTCGGCTGACGACGGGGTGATTATTCCTTTTCGACCTAGTTAGTTTGCTGATTTTAAATCCGAGCATTCCTTCATTCACCCTTTTTTTGCCGTTCCTTTCCCTTCGCTCTGCTTCATTGTCCTCTTGCTTGCAGCTATGCTTTCCTCGTGGATGCCAAAGGTCGTGTTCGCTGGCGTGCATCAGGCACAGCCTCTGATGACGAAGTGACATGCTTGCTGTCTGCAACTGATAAACTCTTGAAAGAATGATCCAACAAGAAATCATGACGAATAAAAGAATGCAAGCAATGCGGTGTCGCGTAAAACGTACATACTGTAAATGCTGTAAACACATGTACCTAGGAGGAATATTGCAAAAGAAGTATGGCCTGATTCTTCATGCCCACCTTGGCTGTGGTGGACTTGACCGAGACTCGTATACAGTACGTAGGATATGGTATGATATGATGCACACATGCGTGCACAACTTCCGATCTCACGAGTCACCACTATTCTGTGTTTGACCAGAAAACCCCAGCCATGAGCCCTGCTTTGGGTGGTTGTGCTGTGTGGTTGAAAGACAAGAAGATGCTCCTCTGTCTGCATTAATGGTGCTAGTACTGGTTCTCCTAGGTTGATGAGCGTTAAACGGTAGTCTAGTCATTACACACTGCTTCAGCCTGACTGCTATAGTTCTGCCACCTTTTTTTGAGACCCTTTCTCAAAACTCCAACTCAGTATTCCTTCTAAACACGCTGCTTTATGCTGCATGCTCTTGTGGGTTTTGTGCTCACATGGAGAACTTTGCGTTGGAGAAATCCATTTCAGGGTGCTGCACACAGGGAGGAGGGTGAGTTTGTAGGGGGGTGAGGGAGAGGAAGAGGGTGAGTGAGAAAGGGGGTGTGAGAGGAAGAAGAGGGGTGAGAGGGGAGGAGGGGTGAGAGAGGAAGAGGGTGAGTGAGAAGGCCATAAGAGGAAGACTGTGAGTGACACACCCATTATTGAAGGGGGAAGGAGGGAATGGAAAGAAAATGCTGTGAGAGAAAATGCTGAGAGAGAAAATGCTGAGAGAGAAAATGCTGAGAGAGAAAATGCTGAGAGAGAAAATGCTGAGAGATGAAAGAGGATGTCAGAAACACACTGAGCCTAAAAAGCCGCCCACCTGAGCCCAAAAATCCACACACCTGAGCCCAAAAATCCACACACCTGAGCCCAAAAATCCACACACCTGAGCCCAAAAATCCACACACCTGAGCCCAAAAATCCACACACCTGAGCCCAAAAATCCACACACCTGAGCCCACAAAGCCCCACCTGAAGACCCACCTGAGCCCCTGATTGCACCCACCTGAGCCATGAATTTCTTAAGAATCTCCTGCTTCTGCTGCTCCTCACTCGTTGATAACCCCATCTGCTTTTAAGGCACCTCAAAACCCACCCACCTGAGCCAGCAACCACCCACCCACCCACCCACCCACCTGAGCCATGAACTTCTTAAGAATCTCCTGCTTCTGTTGCTCCTCACTTGTTGGTAACCCCATCTGCCGCTGCCGCTGGTCGTACTGTTCAGGGCAGTGGGGAGCAAAGGAGGGAACGGGGGAGTGGGAGAGTGGGGGACGAAGGGAGGGGGAAGGGGGACAGAGGGATGGGGGGGAAGTGGGCAAGAGCAGTGAGCACCAAAACAACAGGGAAATTTCTCAGAAGGTAACAAGGGGTCGTATCGTTTGGTCAACCCATGGGCATTAGGGTCCCAAGTTTGCTCTTCCAACACACACTTGCACATGCACGAAGTTTCCAGTCAGAGTAAAAACACACGCACCAACGCCCACCCCTGTTACCACCACCCCTTATTCTCCTCTCCTCACCATCATCTTCTCTACAGTCTGCCTCGTTTCAGCATCTAGGTCACCCAGCTTGCTGCTCCTGCTCTTCCGAACACACACAGACATACCCACACAGACATACCCACACAGACATACCCACACAGACGCACCCACACAGACGCACCCACACACGCACATGCAGCAACTACCTCCTCTGCTATCTACCCCCCCTGTTAGCCTCTCACCATCATCTTCTCTACAGTCTGCCTCGTTTCAGCATCCAGGTCGCCCTGCTTGCTGCTCCTGCTAGTCCGAACAGAACACACACAGACCCACCCACACACGCACACGCAGCAACCCTCCTCTGCTACCTACCCCCTGTTACCCCCTCACCATCATCTTCTCTACAGTCTGCCTCGTTTCAGCGTCCAGGTCGCCCAGCTTCCTGTTCTAGGGCTCCACTTTCTCACACACACACATGCACAACAGCAATATCGACTGCCCCATTCCCCCCCTTTCCTCCTCTTCTTCATTCTCTCACCATCATCTTCTCTACAGTCTGCCTCGTTTCAGCATCCAGGTCGCCCAGCTTGCTAGTCTCTGCCTCACAGCTGCCTCTGCTACTCAATCCCTTACTCTCCTCTCCTACCTCTTCCCCGCACAAGCGCTTAACCCCTCAATTGCTCACCATCATCTTCTCTACAGTCTGCCTCGTTTCAGCGTCCAGGTCGCCCAGCTTGCTGTTTTCAGGCTCCACCTTCTGAGTGTCGATCTCCGGCTCACCGCGCACCACCGCACTCCACCACTCCATGCGGTTGACCTTGGTCAGGAGGATGGAGAGGGTGCGACCGCCCCCAGGATTGTCCTCTGAGGGTGAGAGGAGGGAGGGAGGGAGGGAGGGAGGGAGGGAGGGAGGGAGGGAGGGAGGGAGGGAGGGAGGAGGAAGGGAGGAGGAAGGGAGGAGGAAGGGGAAGGTGGGGCGGGGGAGAGAAAAAGCCATAAACGTTGGCCTTGTTTCAGCGTCCAGGTCGCCCAGCTTGCTGTTCTCAGGCTCCACCTTCTGAGTGTCGATCTCCGGCTCGCCCCTCACCACCGCACTCCACCACTCCATGCGGTTGACCTTGGTCAGGAGGATGGAGAGGGTGCGACCGCCCCCAGGATTGTCCTCTGAGGGTGAGAGGAGGGAGGGAGGGAGGGAGGGAGGGAGGGAGGGAGGGAGGGAGGGAGGGAGGGAGGGAGGGAGGGAGGGAGGGAGGGAGGGAGGGAGGGAGGGAGGAGGAAGGGAGGAGGAAGGGAGGAGGAAGGGGAAGGTGGGGCGGGGGAGAGAAAAAGCCATAAACGTTGGCCTTGTTTCAGCGTCCAGGTCGCCCAGCTTGCTGTTCTCAGGCTCCACCTTCTGAGTGTCGATCTCCGGCTCGCCCCTCACCACCGCACTCCACCACTCCATGCGGTTGACCTTGGTCAGGAGGATGGAGAGGGTGCGACCGCCCCCAGGATTGTCCTCTGAGGGTGAGAGGAGGGAGGGAGGGAGGGAGGGAGGGAGGGAGGGAGGGAGGGAGGGAGGGAGGGAGGGAGGGAGGGAGGGAGGGAGGGAGGGAGGAGGAGGGGAGGGAGGAAGGGAGGAGGAAGGGGAAGGTGGGGCGGGGGAGAGAAAAAGCCATAAACGTTGGCCTTGTTTCAGCGTCCAGGTCGCCCAGCTTGCTGTTCTCAGGCTCCACCTTCTGAGTGTCGATCTCCGGCTCACCGCGCACCACCGCACTCCACCACTCCATGCGGTTGACCTTGGTCAGGAGGATGGAGAGGCTGCGACCGCCCCCAGGGTTGTCCTCTGGAGGTAAAGGGGGGTGGAGGTGGGGGGATAAGAGAGGGGAGGAGAAACAGGGGTAGAATGAAGGGTGCAAGGTGTGGGTGAGTGCGAAATTGGGAGGGCAAGGAGCGACGGATGGGAGCACTCAAGCCCAACCGCTTCACCACATTACCACACTCTACTGCTCCACCACTCCATTACTCCATGCGGTTGGCCTTGGTGAGGAGAATGGAGAGAATGCGACCGCCCCAGGGCTGTCCTCTGAGGATAAGAGGTGGACGAAGATTTTAAAAGAAAGCAGGAGATGAAAGAAGGGGACCAGAAGGGTGAGGGGTAAGTTTGACTTCCTTGGTTCTCTTACGGAAGAAGGAGCGCCCCTCAGAAGGGCTTGATGCGTTTCAGAGCAAGAGCGGGAGGAGTTTGAGGTTTGAGGAGAGGAGAGGGCTTACCAATGCTCCAGATGCAGTCGTCTGCCTTCACTGGCGCCCAAAGCCTACTCTTGAGGCGGCTAAACGATTTGCGGTTTTGAGACGACTCAAAACTCGGGGCGGCTAGACAATTTGGGGCACCTCGAATTGGGCGGGAAGGCTTTGGCGGGGAGGAGAGAGCTTACCAATGCTCCAGATGCAGTCGTCCACTTTCACTGGCGCCCAGAGCTCGCCCTGGGAAAGAAACAGTGGAGGGGGGATTAGGAAAAAAGGGGACTGAGGGAGGAACGGGAGTGAAGGGGGAGGAGGGAAGAGCTCTCATTCGAAGACCTTTCGAACGTATATCATTCTTGCTACCTCACCTCTAGTACTACAAACGTCAGCCCCTTCAACCCAAGTGATAGCAAAATTGACGTCTGATGCAAGAAGTGAGTGTCAACGTTTGCAACCTGACCCCGTCATTCTCAAAATTAGTCAGGTTGCAAGAATGAGTTGCAGCGTTTGCAACGCTCTCCCCCCGTCAACGGTTGCAACGCTCACCCCCGAACTCATCCCCTCTTTTGTACCTCAAATAACCCTTGACCTCTAGTAGCCTCGCCTTTAGTACAGGCGCCTGCCCCTTCTCAACCCAGCCACAAGTTCCGTCTTCTTGAACACCGTGCCAGACTCCACAGTCGCTCCCCGTGCCAGTTTTGGTCTAGTATGTTCCTCTTGAATCAATCGTGCAATCTCACCTCCACCACAGGCGCCTGCCCCTTCAGCCCAGCCACCAGCCTCATCTTCTTTATCTCCACCGCAACTCCCCGTGCCTTGGTGCCCACAGGCAGGGGAACCACCGCCACACTCAGCGCACAGTTCAACTCTAAAACAGGCAATACATTCCCCGCATAACAATCCTGCAATCTCAGGCGGCTGCCCCTTCAAACCTTGTACTCACCTCCAGAACAGGCGCCTGCCCCTTCAGCCCAGCGACCAGCCTCGTTTTCTTGATCCCCACAGCAACTCCCCGTGCCTTGGTGCCAGCAGGGAGGGGGGTCGCCACACTCAGCCCAACCCAATCCCTCCAGTACTTCCCCCCTTTACTCACCTCCAGCACAGGCGCCTGCCCCTTCAGCCCAGCCACCAGCCTCGTCTTCTTGATCTCCACCGCCACTCCCCGTGCCTTGGTGCCAGCGGGGAGAGGAATGGCCAAATTCAATTCTCCCAGAGTCTGTGTGAAGGAGTATCGCCCCAGATCCACTCCATTGCCCGGAGATGGTTCTGTTAGGAGGAGTGAATGCGGGGGGAAAGAGGGCAGGGAAACGGACGGCAGGAGAGGAATCGCCAGATTCAACTCTCCCAGAGTCTGTGTGAAGGAGTATCGCCCCAGATCTGCTCCGTTGGCTGGGGATGGCTCTGTTAGGGGGAGTGAATGCAGGGAAGAGGGGAGAGGAGGGGCAGGCAGGCAGGGGAATGGTCAGGTTTGATAACAAATCAAACCATACAGCAGCGAATCAATGCTAAGACAACAAAAACTCACTCAGTTTCCCGCTGGCAACAGGCTCTTCTCCATCCTCCTCCATCTCCTTCGCCTCCCCATCGCTAATCTCCATTGCAGCCGCACCGTCCTTCCCCTCCGCACCACTCCCAACCGCTGCCTTCTCCTTCCCCTTCTCTGCCGCCTCCTGCCTCTCTCTCCTCTCCTGCTCAATTCTCTCCTTCTCTCGTTCCTTTTCTAGCCGCTCCGTCTCCGCCTCCTGCTCTCTCCGCTGCTCGCGGTCCCGCATCTCCCTCTCGAACTGCACTCGCGCGGAGTGGATCAGCTTCCCCGCTTGAGTCTCCGACCGCTGCATTGGCAAGGAATCGGAAAGAAACAAAAGAAAGAGAGCAAGAGAAAATCAAATCAAGTGGTTCTTTTGGGACCGTGAGAAGATGGGACCGAGAGGAGGATTTCTTGTGCGCCTAAAAAACGGGACGGAAAAGGACGTTCGAAGAGATTCGGGAAGGTTCGAGGGGTTTGCAAAGGGTGACGTAAACTTGTCCGGAGCCGGCCGTCACGGGAAGAGTTACAGGATCAGCAACGGATGGTAGTACGAAACATAGCACCTAGAGTAAACGCGCAAAATTATTTACCAACGTGACAGGGATAGCGCACCGCGTCTGCAAAGAAATCTGACTTTCGCCGCAAGAATCCAACGACCGTACGGAGAAGCTCCAACGGTCGATCGTCGTGCTGTCTGAGCAGCGACATCAGCGAGCCGTCGTACGGAAACTCGTCCGACCCGTTACCACTTTCGCACACTTCGCGCGCTCGAGAGCTACTCTCGCCCGCACCCAGCCCTGCCGACGGAGGTTGCGCCGGCTGCGGCGGCTCTTCGATTTCAGATAACACAGCCATAGTGTGGAAAGGGAAGGGAAGGTGAGAGGAAGAAGGCGGACTGGAACTAGAGAGCTCTGCAGCAGCCAGAGGAAAGGGACCGAGGAGGTGGCGGCGATTGAAGTTAGTAGTGGGCTCCGCAATAATAAAGACTAGGGCAGTCGGTGCGGGGTCGGTAAGCACTCAAAACTATAGGCACAGATACATACTAACATACACATGCATATGCACATTATGCACATCAAAAGAGGTATATAACTAATCGTATACACATCCAGACGTTTATCTAATGCTAAAAAACAAATAGCCGTTCAGTGATTAGTGAGGGAAAAAACGGAATGAAGTTGATACATAAACATGGGTTTGATTCAGTCGAATATTTTATTATTTTACTGAGAATGAACTTCATATTCTAGACCCATGTGTACGTTTTTCTATCACACACAATATTCAGCTCCTAGATTGGGTGTTCTCGTAATGATAACACTCATTCGGATCAATTAGCCACATCTTCTTGTTTGTTAGCCAAACCGAGGTTGAAGATAAAGCTTTGAAATGCATTCTTGCAAGATAGTAGTTTGAAAGTTATTGATAGATACAATATTCAACATCTTTGGTAGCACTTATAGGTGTAAGTGGGATCATATATTTCCAGTAGAGCCAGGGATACAGTCTGATTCAATCAAATCGGAGCCGTGAACCATTTTGGAAAGATAGCAAACGGTGGGAATGGATCCAATCCCCGTGTGACCGACATACATCTTCGACAGGAACTGTATAGAGCCGTCATTCTTAGCTGTCTGACACGGTGATACGCTCCGACAGCTGGAATAGCTGCCAGTCTACTCTGCTCTAGTGGTCTGATCTGGTGGCGAGTCGAAAGACTCTCGAATCGCCAGGTGTCGAAAGAGCGTGCTCAAAGTACTACGGACATCGAAAATCAGGACAGAACATTGTTGGTGCACTGCAGGTTTGCAAAAACAGGTTGGTATTTTTTTAGAAGCCACAAAAATAGCGTTCCTAGTGGTGCACGGGATGTTGTGAACAGGCTCTATTCCGTGTTGAGCGCCGCAGGAGCAACCTTCCAGCCTGAATACAAAAATAATCCAACGACGCAGATCCCACGACGGATGCTCGAACTTCCCTCTTAGGGTTACGATACGACACCTCCTCGGTGGAAACAGCTATCTTACGAATAGCTGTCCGATCCCGAGCACAAGAGTAGCTTCTTTTGGTCACTTATATTCTGCTCCAGAGTACGTTGTCCACGTCCGGGCTAGTTTTGTTCACACATGACAGCTGCAGATTCATGCATTTTTTACGCTCTGAGCGAGCGACAGCCTTTGCAGTCGCCGAGTTTTTTTTCACAATGACAGCTGCAGATTCATGCATTTGTCACGCCCTGCGCGAACGACAGTCTATGCAGTCGGTGGCCATGTGGATTAAAAGCCGCTCAATCATTGCCGTTAAGAACGGCTCCAGAAAATCTACCCGGAGAGGCTGCCAGGCAAATCCAGTCAATCCTGCAGAGAATTTCTGGAGTTTTGGCATCTACAGTCATGGCCGTGATGGGCAAACTCGTGTCCAACGTCCTTCACTTGTAGTGACGCTAGCTCAAGAGCTTTTTGCTCAGGTTGGTCTTGTTGTTTGTTTTCCTTTCTTTTCTTTTCTTTCCTACGAAAATTCTTCGTGACATAACTGGTGCTCGCGTAAAGTCGATCACCAGTGGTAGGCTCGTTAGAAAAAATCTTCACGGCATCCGATGGCGGTCATAGGAGCTCTTACTGATCAATCGATTGGTCGAGTTCAGCCTTCACAATACGCTGTGGTGATACTCGTAGTACTAATCTCAAGCATTCTTCTTATGTGGCATGATCTCTCCTTTGAGACGCCTCTCCGCGGGAGTGTTGGCCCATCCCATGGTGATGATATTCCATTCTGAATCATTCTGCCGATCTGCTTTACTGTCCTGACACTCTGAGAGTCATTTTTATTTTCCAACAAAAGAGGCCCTCCCATCATCCGTTTCTACCGAAGATGACGGCCCTGCTTCCAAGTGGAGAGCTGCTGAGACGGAAAGCTGAATCTGACGTCTGACGATGGAGGTTTGAGGCGGAGAATGGACGGCTGAGATGCATCGGACATCAGCTGGAACACGGATGATCCCGAAACCAGCAAAGGTTCTCCAAGCACTTCCCAACCAGAAGTTTCAGCGGCTTTCACGGAAAGGATCAGCATTGGGAGGATCAGATTCCTGCGGATCTGCAAGCTTTGGTGGATGAAGAAGCTTCGGTAATCTCGGCTACTGGAAGAAATTCCAGAAGCAACGCAGTGTTGTGAGGAGGAGGGGGAGGTCGACGGCCAAAGGCTTGATCATGGAAGAGCGAGGCTTGATGGAAGAGCAAGGCTTGATGGAGCAAGCATTGGCGTCTCAAGCCGGAGACGCACGGGAGGATGGCGTTGCGATGTTGCTAGACACTGCAGTGGGAGATCAGGGATTGGCCGACCTATCGTTGGCCGAACCTGCATTTGCCGAACCTGCATTGGCCGAACCTGTCTTTGCTGACCCTGCATTGGCCCACCCTGCATTGGCCGACCCTGCATTGGTTGATCAGGCATTGGTGTGTCTGGACCAAGCAATGCTGGAGGGAAGCATGCTGAATCAGGGCGTGCTGAATCAAGGCGTGCTGAATCAAGGCGTGCTGAATCAAGGCGTGCTGAATCAATCACTCCTGAATCAAGCATTGGTGGATCAAGCATCGCTCGATCGAGCACTGATGGACCAATCATTGCTGCATCAAGCCTTGGCGGATCAAGAATTCATGGGCCAAGGGATGCTGGATCAAGGCATGCTAAACCAAGCGTTGCTGGATCAGGCCTTGCTGAACCAAGCGGTGCTGGAGCAAGTCTTGCTGGGTGGGGACATGGCGACGAGCCTTGGCATGGACCTGTCGTGGATGAACACGCATCGCATCCTAACACAGATGTACAATGAGGGTGGAGGAGCTACTGCTGCTGCTCCGGCCGCTGCCGCCACCTCTACTGCTGCTCCTCCTGCTGCTGATGCTGCTGCTGCTGCCCTTCCTGTGCCTCCCCATCCTGCTGCTGCTGATGCTGGCTCAACCCCAGGCCCATCACAACGCCACCTAGATCTCACCACGATGCAACGGAAATCTGCTACTGCTGCTCCTTCCGCTGCTGCTGCAGCTGCTCCGCAACAGCGTACTGTCGTCCCATTCTCCACACCTCCAAATCCCTCACCACCGATTCCTACTCCTCAGCCCTCACGGAGTGTCGCTCCCACTTCTCAGCTAACCACTCTCCTCTCAACTCAGATCTCTGTCGAGGTTTCTCCAAGTCCTCTTTACGCTGCAGGGGACCCTGCTGCTGTCAGGCAGGCAGCTAGGAACCAGCATTGCGCAGGCGTTGACGCAGCAGCTTATGGCACTCCTCCTTTTGGCAGGACTATTGGCAGAGCCTGTGGCAGGGCAATTGATGCGTGGATGGTTCCGTCTGATGGGAAACAAGGACCAACGGCAGCAGAGGGTGTGACTATTGGAGATACGGCGGCAGAGGATGTGACAGTAGGAGATACGGTGGCAGAGGATGTGACAGTAGGAGATACGGTGGCAGAGGATGTGACAGTAGGAGATACGCCGGCAGAGAACGTGACAGTAAGTGGTGGTTTTAGAGCACCTGCAAGTTCCCCGTTAAAGATGCGGAGGAAGCAGCAGAGACATCACCCATACGAGGAGAAATTATCTGGTTCTGCTCCTTCTTCTTCTGCTGCTGCTGCTCTTGGTCATGCTGGTTCTTCCCTTTTTGCGCCTCGCTCTGTTGCTTCTGCATCTCTTGATACTTCATCCTCTTCTGCTTCTGCAGCTTCTACCTCCTCCCTTGCTGCTTCTATGTCTGCCACTGTCGCTACTGCTTCACGGCACAGCCCTACCGTCAGTGCCCCTGCTGCTGCTTCCACAGCCACTGCTATTTCTGCGGATCCTGCTGCTGCCGCTGTTGTTTCATCTCGTGGGACAGCTGTGGGCAGGGCGTGTTTAGCAGCAGAGGAGGTTGCAGTGACAATGCAACAGCACCGGAAGAGGCAGCAAGGGATGGAGCCGCCACCACTGCAGCAGAGGCAAGAGGAGGCAGCAGGGACAGCAGCAGCAGCAGCAGCAGTAGCAGGAGGGGCGTCAATCAGCAGTGTCTGCAGCATCAGGAGCAGCAGGGGCAACGAGAGCCTCTACTATGTCTTGGATGGCGCTGGAGCTGGGGAGGGGTTTGGCGGGGTGTGAAGAGGTGCTGCTGTATGCATGCCGGTTCTGCGGCAAGCGATTCTCGCAGCCGCAGGCACTGGGAGGCCATATGAACGCACACCGGCGAGGTGAGAAATTCAAGCGATTTGAGAAAAGCTGGTGATCTGAGAGGCTCAGTTGACAAATCTGATCCTTGAGTCAACTCAAAAATCGACTTGCACAGCCGCAGGGGCTGGGAGGCCATATGAACGCCCACAGGCGAGGTGAGAAGAACAAGTGATTTGAGGCTCTGTTAACAAATATGTTTGTGAGAACTGACTTTTGAGCCGACTCAACAACCACAGGCTCTGGGAGGCCACATGAATGCCCACAGGCGAGGTGAGAAGAACAACCAAGGTGAGAAACTCAAGCAATATGAGGTTATTAATATGAGGTTATTAATATGAGGTTATTAATATGAGGTTATTAATATGAGGTTATGAACGCCCACCTCTCTCATGTGCGCGGCATCGGAAGTAATCAAACCCTCTCTCACTGCAACAGGGCTCCTTTCTGCCTCTCGATTACACACACTCTTTCTCCCCGCCTCCATGCCTCCCCGCCTCCCTGCCTCCCTGCATGCGTACTGCAGACCGCGAGGCCGAAACCAGTGTCCAGGCAACCGCCCTGCCTCAGACTCCTGTCGCACAGGAGACTCTCTCAGTGCATGCCTCTCGATTACACACACTTTCTCCCCCCGCCTCCCTGCCTCCCTGCATGCGTACCGCAGACCGCGAGGCCGAAACCAGTGTCCAGACATCGAAAGTAATCATGCCCTCTCTCAGTGCAACAAGGCTCCTTTCTGCTTCTCAATCATACGCACTCTCTCCCCCCGCCTCCCTGCCTCCCTGCATGCGTACACCAGACCGTAAGGCAGAAGAAACCAGTGTCCAGCAGGCGACCGCCCTACCTCAGACTCCTCGTGCACAGGCGGATTCACCCGGGGTTTTCATGCCGCCTGCAGCAGGCTCGGTCTCTGCAGCACAGTCAACCCAGCCGCATCTGCCAGTCCAGGCACTGCCTGCATCGCAGCTGATGCATCTTCTTACTGCAGCAGAGTCTATCACTGTTGCACAAAATTTTGAGTCGACCCAAAACGCGCATGTCCAGGCACTTCCTGCAGCACAGCCGGGACATTCTCTAACTGCAGCACAGTCGATCACTGCTGCACAATTGTTGAGCGCAGCTCAGTTGCTGGGGTCGCAGCAATTTTCTGGAACTCATATCCAGATACTGGCTAGCCCTGCTGCTGACACTGCCAGCGGTGCTGCTTCTGCTGCCGCAACTGCTGCTGCTGTTGCTGGACTTGGCAGTGCTGCTCGTGCTACTGCTGCTGCTGCTTATCCTGCCCCTGCTGCCTCACCTGGTGGCTCTGCTGCTTTCCTCCCCGGTGCTGCTGCTGCTGCCAGGGCTTCGGCCACCAGCCTCACAGCTCACCTTCCCTTTAGATGGTCTGGCAGCAAAGCAGGGTCGTACCCAGGAGCAGAGCTATTGGGAAGGACAGGCAGGGTGGAAACAGCGTCTGCTGATGCTGCTGTCTCCTCTGCGTTACCTGCTGCAAGGTTAGGCTCGGCAACGGAAGCTGGTTTGGTGGCTGCCGGTTCTGGTTCGGCGACCGGACCTGGGTTTCCAGCTGGTTCAGGGTTTAGCTCTGGTGCTGCTGCAGGGACGGCATCAGGAGCAGGGTACAGTGTCAGTTCGGGTGTGAGGCTTGGAGCAGGTGCGGTTACTACCGATCGTGGCCGGTTTTCACCGGTACAAATGGGTGCAGAAAGGGGTGTGAGTCAGTTGGATCCGGCCCGAAATCCATCTGGTCTGGCCGGACCTTTGGTCTGGTCTGGTCTGGCATGGAACCAGCAAAGCCCCAGTGCAAGCCTGGCAACATACCTCGGTATCGAGTCTTCGGCTAACTCTGTGCAAGAAGCTTCGGAAGGTTCTATGAGGCAAGGCAATAGAGTAGGCTCTCTCAGCAATGTGTTTTTACGAGGGAATCTGGCTGAGCGGGCCGTTTCAGGGGAGAAAATTGGGGAGGAGACGGGGGTAGAGATGGAGTTGGAGCAGCTTCAGAGAGAGTGGAGGAATCAACTGTCTGAGAGAAGGATAATGCAGTTGGAAGGAGAGAGCAGGGAGAGGAGGGAGGTTGAAGGGGGATATGGCATGGATGTTGAGTTGCAGTACAATCGACAGCTGATATCTCGAGAAGAGGAGTTGGGAAAAGGGAAACGGAATCTGCAGGAGGATGACTAGTAGTAGAGAATCTGATATGAGAAGGGAAATACTAGAACAAATTTGTTCTGACTAAACGAGCTGTGTGATGATTTTTGGCGTTACACCATTTTCCCGGAATCATTCTGTAAAGAGTCTGCAGCAAATAAATAATCAATTATAATGGTCCTTCGGTTCGGTTCGGTTCAAAACAGATTCGCCGCAACCAGGGTCTGATATCGCATCCTTGAAAATACTATGACGCGTCGCGTTCCTCCTACCAACGTATTTTCGACCTAATTTCCTCCGGAGATTTGCTCTATCGGTTGCAATTTCGGGACCACGTACCGATATCCGTCCGACGGACTGACGAGTCCATGGCTTCCACGGTTTGGCTCTGAGTACGTACCGAGACGTCTTTGAACTATTTGAAATAGCTGAAAGTTTCAGTAGCTGCTTAGAATCTCGACTATTTCGTCGTCATAGAACGTTTCTGGGTGAAACAGTATTATCCAAATTGACCATTCGTTTTTTCATCGTGCGTTGCGTGAGAGGCGGTCAACTTTCGAGGCGCCTCAAAAGCCATCGGGTGTTGCGTAAAAGGCGGGCAGGATGGAGCTCGCGCACGCGCTGGACGAGGCGGGAATTCTCGACGGCCTATTGGATGCCGCCACGTCAGCAAAGCCACACGTCAGAAATCAGGCGCTTCGCGCGTTGAGCCGTTTCTCCCACTCGGAATATGTCAGTCCAGCTCCCCACCCACGTTCCTCCCAAATCCCCACTTCCAATCCTCCTCCCCTTCCTCCAAATTCGCGTGCTGCTGTCTCTCCTTTCCTACCTTAGCTGCTCTTGTCGCTAAGCAATGGCCAAGTCTGCATGTGCTCGCAAGCTCGCTCACACACTGCCTTGCTCACCCTCTCGCCCCTCCCCACAGACACTCAAGTCGCTGCTAATGACCAAGGGCATTCTGCCTCTGCTCGCACGCTCCCTCTCCCACCTGCCCCCCGTGCCCGCGCCTTCTGTCGCTCATAGTGCTGACGCCGGGATTGGCCCTGCGTCTGCTCATGTGGCTGATTGTGCTGCACATAGTGCCGATGTTGGGACAGGCCGTGCGTCTGGCCGTGTTGGTTCTGCTGGTGATTGTGCTAATGCTAGGGCTGATCCCGCTGTTGGTCCTGAAGGTGCTGGGGATGGGCAAGGAGCAAGGACGGAGGAGCAAGGAGCAAGGGGAGAGGAGCAAACACAGGAGACGGAAGAGCAGCAGCAGCAGCAGCGGCGGCGGACGCAGGAGGCTGGATTGAGAGAAGGGGTTTGCGGTGACTGTGGTGTGGTGTGGTGTGACTATGCTGTGACTGTATCTATGCAGAGCAGCAGCTTGGGGAGGAGGGTGCACTGGACCTGCTCGCTCGGATCCTGCACCACCACCGCTACCCCCGCTTGCACAGCCAATCGTTTGATGCATTTACCATGTGAAGACCCACACCCATTGCAACAAATATCGTGGTGTGACTATGCTGTGACTGTATGCATGCAGAGCAGCTTGGGGAGGAAGGTGCTCTGGAGCTGCTCGCGCGGATTCTGCACCACCACTGGCACCTCACTCTTCAATGCAAGCACCATGTGAAAACTCACGCCCATTGCTGCAATCATCATCATGCACCTGGTTGTGCGTGTCAAGCTGTGACACATGACGGCACCAGGAAAGAGAGCTCGAGGAAGCAAGGCTCAAGGCGGGACGATTCAAGGCGGGAAGGCGATGTGCTGGCGCTGAAACACTCCTGCCTTGCTGTTTGGAGCATCTGCTACTCTGTAAGAGCGCTTTGAGAGACAGATATAAGATGAAGTGACTTCGATTATCCACTTTCGAAACAGCTAGAGGGTTCCAAATGTCTAAAAGGCACTTCCTGGTTGATGTTGTTTTTTTTTCTTACCTACTTCTCACTCACTCTTATTTCTCTCAGGTTGATTCCAACTGCCTTCGTGCCGAGACAGCAGGCCTGCTGCCGTTGCTGCTCGCCCTGCTTCGCCATCCCAAGCCCTCGGTGCAGGTACCCCAACTCTCACCATCACCCCTTCATCAGTCTAGGTAGTCGCATCGCAACATGTTTTCTTTTTTAGTCGCTTCGCAGCACGTTAGTCCCTCTGTTAGTCAAATAAAATGGGTTCTTACATGTTTTCTACTTTTAGAGCCACCTCTGCTCACTTTCTCTCCCCTCACCTCCCTCCCTCCCCCCATTCTTCTCCATCCTACTTTCTCTGTGTTTTCCTTCCTCTTCCACTTTCCTCTCCCTTCTTCCTCTCTCCCTTTTCTCCACACACAGTACGCAGCAGCAGGGGCGCTGTGGCACATTTCAGCCAATCAGAGCCTAGGGCCTGCTCTCATCGTGCGCTACAGATGCCTGCTGCCCCTGCTGAGCCTCCTTGATCAGTCGTCGCCCCAGTCAACGGGGGTCAACTACTGTCAGTGGCAGTCAACTCAGGTCGACTGCATTCAATGCCAGTCAACGCAAGTCAACTGCAGTGAGTGTGTGTTGCTGCAGCAGAATGGATTTTACCGTGACCGTGAAGTGGGGGAGAGGGGAGAGCATGGGATGGTGGAAGGAGGGAGAGAGGTGGAGAGAAGTCAAGTGGGGCGAGATGGGGAAGGAGGTGGAGGAGGGGAAGCAAGAGAGGAGGGGGAACTTGATGGTAGAGATCGAGTTTCTCTAGGAAGGGAAGGGAAAGGAGATGGGGGGGAGGTGGGGAGAAGATGGAGTAGAGAGCAAGGAGGGGGAGAAGGAGCGGGTGAGAGTGAAAGAGAATATTCCAGGAGGGACGAGGAGGAGGAAGAGGTGGAAATTGAAGAGGAATTTGAGGAAGGGGAAGAGGAAGGGAACGAGGGGGGAGAATCAGAGGAGGAAGAGGAGGAAGAGGAGGAGGAAGAGGAGAAGGGGAAGCGAGAAGAGGCTCGGCTGTATGCATGCTTAACTCTTGCCAATCTCTGCCTGCTGCTGGACAGTACTCAATGCACGTTGGGAGGTACACAAGTGGACATGCAGGATGGCAGTCAACATGCCTTGGCCAAGACTCGTCATTCTGGTGTGACAAGTGCAACACCTCTCTCTGCGTGCAAGCAAGACACAGTGCCCTGCTACTCCGCCTGTTCCTCTTCTCTCCTCACACAAGCACAGCAACTCCTCCTCTCTTCCCCCACACTCCCCTCCATCTCCTCCTTCCTCCTCGCCTCGCACCCCTTCTCCCTCCCGCTCCACCTCATCTGGACCACCATCTCTCCGATCGTACGGCTGCTGCGCTGCCACCTGGCGGCGATCCGAGGGCTGGGAGCGCTGCTGGCTGCTGCAGTGTGCAAGAGCAGGGGGGGCAAGGAGGAGCACGGAGCTATGTTCTTTCTAGAGGGGGCTGTGGAGATTCTGATGGGAATGGCGGCATTCGAGGCGCCTCAGAAGAGGGAGGAGGATGGAGCAATGGCCAAGGATGGAGCCCCGGGGATTTCAGACGGGGCTGCTGGGGTGATGGTGGGGATGACAGAGGAGGTTGGGCGTGGTGGGGCCCTGAGAGATACTCAGAGGGAGGAGGAGGAAGGTAGGGAGGAGAAGAAGGAGGAGGTATGGAAGGAGGAGAGGGAGAAGAAGAGGGAAAAGCAGAGGGAGGAGCAGAGTGAGAGGAAGGGGGAGGAGGAGAGGGAGGAGCAGGAGAATCGAGTGCGGGTAAAAGCAGCAGAATTCGCTCGCCGTGCCCTGGGATACCTTGATGTACCTCTGACAAACCTGCTTCCTACCCCTGGCACAGGCACACCCGCCTCCTCAGGCGTGCTTTGCAGCCAAGGGGAGGGGCCCCGTGGGGCTGACGAGGGGTGTGGTGAAATCCTGACAAGGAGCAACGTTCCTGGTTTCAGTGGGAGCGGGAATGAGATTGTAACAGGTGAGGAGAGGAGCAACAGCAGCAATGGCAGCAGGGGTGGGTCGAGCAAGGCTGCAGTGACAGTTACCACATCGTGTGTGATTTGCTGTGAGGAGGTGCAGTGCCCCCCTATTGACCCGTGCGGCCATGCAGTTGCCTGCCCCTCCTGCCTCCTCTGCCTCGTTTCCAGGAAGCAACCCTGCCCCATCTGCCGTTCTGCCATTGGTTGATTTCGCCTACCAACTGGTGGCCAGCAGCAGCAGCAGCAGCAACAGCAACAACAGCAACAACAGCAATAGCAGCAGGGGTAATACCTGGGCTGCAGTAGCAAATATGGTAACAGCCCTGCCTACCCCCCCCCGGCCCTCTCAGTCACCTATCTGCTTTAACCACTCTTGTCTTGCTCCCTAGATTTGTTCTTTGAGATGTCTCAAAGGCCCTGCGTCATGCCAAGCCCTTCTGTCACCCATCTGCCTGAACCAACCTTGTCCTGTTTCTTAGATTGTCAGCATGGGTTGACTCTACTGGCTGCAAACAACACCTCTCGGCACTCTGCCAGATTGTATTGTGTTTGTAGGTTGTACAGGGTACAGTAATGCTGATAGTCGTAATCACTCTAGTGAGAGTACCAGTGAGTGATGGAATTAGTACATCAATACTGGTAATTGATAATGATACAACTAATCATTGCCGCAGCAACTACACTAATCAATATGAATCTGTACAGAACTAGGATAATAATATCTGTACTCAAGTTGGTGACTGTTGAGCGCGTGAGGGTCTGGAACGCACTGGAACGCACTGGAATGCACTCGCGCTCACATCACTACTCCACTGTCAATCTGAAACAGTCGAGTGCTCTCAGCCGATCCGCTGCTGCTCACAGAGCGCCCAGGGAGGGGTGGGACAGCTCGCGCCGGCACATTCTGGTCAACGCGTGGCTGCTGCTGCTGTTGCTGCTGCTGCTGCTGTTGCTGAGTGCTGTCCGCTGATCTGCTGCTGCTGACAGAGCGGCGGGGGAGGGGCGGTGCAGCAGCAGAGTGAGTGCGTCGAAGCATTCTGGTCAAAGAGCGTCTGCCAGTGCTGCTACTGGTGGTGCTGCTGCCGGTGTTGCTGATGGTGGTGGTGGTGTTGGTGAGAAGACCAGGATGGAGCAGCGCATGCGTGTGTGACTGTGGGGGGCGTGGCGGCGAATTGCGTGACTGTAACGGGTGTGAATGTACAGGGTGTGACTGTAACGGAGGTGGCTGAATCTCCAGCACAATCACCGAGATATCGTCGTGAATCTTCCTGCGTTGTGTGCCGAGGGGGAGAGAGGCGAGGGCGGAGGGGTGGGTGCCTGTGTGCTCCGCAGCTCTCTCTAGCGCTTCTCTCACCAGTCCCTCTGCAATATTGCTGTTACTGCTGTTGTTGTTGTGGCTGCTGCTGTTGCCGTTCTTGCTACTTGTGCTTTGAGATGCCACAGGCGGTTTTTGAGAGCTCTCGAACGCCACCTTAACATCTTCTTTTGCCGATCCCTCTGCAGTGTTGTTGCTGCTGCTCGTGATACATCTGTCTGTTACTGCTGTTTCCGTTCCTGCCGCTGTCGCTGCCCCTTCCACAGCCGCTACTGCCCCTGCTGCTGCTGCCCCTGCCCCTGCCCCTGCCCCTGCTGCCCCTGTTAAACTTGCTGCTCCTGCTGCCCTTGCTGTCTCTGCTCCCCCTGCTGCTCCTGCTCCTCCTGCCCCACGTCCTGTCTCTTCTCCCACCCCGGCCCCCATCCACTTCTTACTGCCAATCCGAAAGCTTCCCCCCAAAGATAGCCCCCTGGTCAGCCTATGAACTCCCGAACCTCCATGTGCCGAACCTAAACTTCCCGAGCCTCCATGCGCCGGACCTGCTGCTGCTGGCCGAGGAAAGAAACTGGCTAGGGTGGGGCCGAGGCAAGTGGGAACGTCTCTGGTTTGCATGTGCTGATACAGACCGTCGGATGAGAGGATGAGGAGCCGATCTGACGGTGAGATTTGCACGTGGCGCAGGTGCGGTGAGGTGGAAAGGTATGGTTCCGAAGCTGAGGCAGAGGCTTGGTACTTGACTCGGAACATGCCTAGCAGGGCATCATTAATTGTTTGCTGCGGCAAGGGGGTGATTGAGAGGGGAAAAAATGGGAGGGAGTGGGTGGGATGATGTGGCAAGGCAGTGCAGGGCAGTGCAGTGCAGAGCAGGACAGAGAGAAGAGAGCACACAGCACTCAGCAAACCAGTGTGGGTGGCTACAAACACTCACATCCTTGAGGTAAGCTGCACCGAAGGCCCGGGTCAGCTTGACCTTGCCCTTAAGCCTGCCTCTCTTGATGATGTCACTGTCTGCATGCGCCTGCTGCACCCGCCGCACCTCCTGTGAGTTGCAAACAGGTAAGGGGTGTGAGACATGAAGGGGGCCGTGGGGGATGGGGAAAGGACCGTGTGAGGCAGGGAGGGAACCGTGGCACCGTGTGAGGCAGGGGGGAAAGGCGCGCGTGAGCTTGATCTTGCCCTTGAGCCTGCCTCTCTTGATGATGTCACTGCTGCATGCGTGTGCTGGACCCTTTGAAGGAGAAAGGCGAAGAGGGGAGGAGGCAGATAGAAGAGAGAGGACTCACAGCAGCATGCTCGTGTTGTGATCCACTGTCAGTCTCTCTGCCTTCCACCTCCACACTCCTCTGATTCCTCCCCTCTTAAAGTGACTCCTCAGAAAGTGGGTGGAAACTCACAGCAGGATTGCTCGTGTTGTGGTCCACTGTCAGACTCTCTGCCTAATGCGAGTCAGTCTGAGATTCACAGCAGTCTTGTGGCCTTAAACTGACTCCTCAGAGAGTGGGTGGGGACTCACAGTAGCATTGCTCGTGTTGTGATCCACTGTCAGTCTCTCTGCCTTGTCATCTTATTAGAGTCAGTTCAAGAATTGCAAAGCCGTTCTCAAAAGTGATTCCTCCCAGAATGGGGACTCACAGCAGCGTTGCTCGTGTTGTGGTCCACTGTCAGTCTCTCTGCCCTCCACCTCCACACTCCCCCTCCTCTGCCTCCTCCCTTCTCCCCTCCTCCTGCTTCTCCTCCTCCTGCATTCCTGCTCCCCGCACTCTCCATTTCCCCAACAGCCCCACTAATCTCACCCCTCTCCCACTTCTCCCCCTTCTCCCATATTCCCCCCGTTTCCCCCACTTTCTCTCTTCTGCCACTCCCTTTGCTGCTACCACTCCCCTCTCCGCCACTCCCGCCACTCCCCCATCCCCAACTCTCCACTCCCCCACTCCCCACTTCTCCACTTCCCCATATCCCACTTCCCCTCCTTCCCTCCACCCTATCCCTCCTCACACGCCTCCCACTCTCTCCTCCCCCCCTCCTCAACCCCCTCCTCCACCCCCTCCCCACCTCTTCCCCCCTTACAATCACAGCCCTGCTATCCCCCAAATTAATCACATAAGCATCCGTGCCTGTGACTATAGCAGCAACTAGAGACGCCCCTCCTATCGCATACTCCGGCTGGTCTTTAGAGACGTCTTTAACTCGCGTCAGAAAGGACGACTCGGTAGAGGCGAGGGCGCGTTCTAAGGCGCCTAGAATCTGCTGGTGTCGTCTGTGGTCGTTAGGTGGTTCTTGCACCATCTTTGGCACATGGGACGGGTGCTGCTGATGATGGTGATGCTGGTGGTGGTGGTGCTGCTGCTGCTGCTGCAACTTTTTTTGCGCAAGTCCCACCTCCCCTTCAGTCCCATTCCCTTCTCCCCTCAGCCTTCCATTCTGAGAGGCATCAGATGCTCTCTCCTGCTGCAGTCCCTGTGTCTTATCAGACCCACCCTTATCAGACCCACCCTTATCAGACCCACCCTTATCAGACCCACCCTTATCAGGCCCACTCTTATCAGACCCACCCTGCTCAGCCCCACCCTTATAAGGCCCACTCTCCTGGTCCATTCCGCCTTCCTGGATATCCCTTGGGAATGCTTCTTGCTCATCCTGGTTATCCGAAGCTTCTGACCAATCAGAGCGGCTTCGCTCCCTCGGGAATGCTTTCTTGCTCGTCCTCCCAACCCCACCCAGCGTCCACCTAACCTTACCCTTCGACTCATCCCCACCTGCACCCTCACACGCGACCTCCTGCTCCAATCCCTCTGTCCCGTCAGAAGCGTCCAACCAATCAGAGCGGCTCCGGTCCCTTGGGAACGCTTTCTTACTAGCCCTGCCCATCTTACGCAACATCCACCTCAGCTTTCCCTTCGGCTCACTCCCACCTGTACTCTCACACTCACACCCACACTCACACGAACGCCTCAAACTGCCATATGCTTCGTGTCCCAGGCTCTCATTCTCTGCGCATGCTGGGCAGTTCACATGGTCTTGACCCTCCCCGCACGTGCGGTGCTGGGCGGTTCCGTGGGTTTCCTGGGGGTGCAGTGAGGGCAAGCCGCACGCGTCCAGCTGGTGGCAGAGAGCGGTGTGGAGGTGTGCGAGGAGGTAATCCACGGCGTGGCGCTCTGCAAAGCCGTCGTACACCGCTGCAAACACAAAGCCCCGGGAGGGCGAGACGAGGATGTGAGAGCGGTCCTCTCCTGCCATTGACACCGCCTCTTCTTGCACGTGCTGCTGCTGTTGCTGCTCATCCTTCTGCTGCTGCTGTTGCTGCTGCTGCTGCCCCTGCTCTTCTTGTTGCTTCTGTGCCGTTTTCAAATCCTCCCCTGATACTGCAGGCATAGCAGAAGCAGCAGCAGCACCACCACCAGCAGCAACGCCCTCCATGTGCCAAGACACCAACGCCTCTGCTGCAATCCCCCGCCCTGCCTCATCCCCTCCCACCCTTCCACTCACTCCTCCCCCTCCCCCACCTCCTTCTTCTCCTCCTTCTGCTTCCCTCGCTATGCTCACCCCCGCCCCGTCATTGTCACACCTAGACTCAGCAGGACTGCCTCCGAAGCAGCAAAGAAAACCTCCGCCTCGACCCGACCGCCTTCTCCCTGCCCTTTCACCTGCGCTTGCCTTGTCGCCTCTTCCTGCCTTCTCACTTCCTCCTCTATCCTCACCCGTAGAACCTGCCACGTTCCCCGCCGTTGCCTTGTTACCGTTCCCCATACCTCCCGCAACTCCTAAAACCGCACTCCGCCGCGTGATCGCCCATTTCTCCCCCTCTTCGCCCTCCGTTCCCCTCTCCCCTCTGCCTTCCCCCGGCCCTCGCTGCTGGACCTTCCCCTGAGCCTGCGCCTGCTCTTGCGCCTGCATCTGCGGTTCAGCCTGCCCCTGTGCCTGCGCCAGCCCTTGCTCCGCTTCCGCCTGCGCCTCTGCCTCCGGCCTGCGGAACGGATGTGTGCGCGCGGACCAAACGAACCCGGGGGACGACCTCAGCGGGCAGTACGGCGCAAGGCGCATTCCGTCGCCCGCGTCCCCGCTTCCACCTCCTGCGTCTCCTGCGCTTCCGCCGTCGCCAGCCGGCGCATTTCCGCTGATCGACGAGCGCCCGCCGTGGTCCCCCGCAAAGGGGTCGTTCGCCGCGAGACACGCGCCGTGGATCCTCACTACCGCCGTCCACCGCCGCCCGGACCCTGCGCTGCCGCCAGGCTTTCCGCCTCCGCCGGGCTTTCCGCCGCCGGCGCCAGGCCCGCCGCTTCCGGCGCCAGGTCCGCCGTTTTCGGCGCCAGGGCCGCCGCCACCGCCGCCGGAGCCGACGACAGCCCCGAGTGTGACGGCGGATGCGGCGGTGTCTATTTTCCAGTCGTTCTCGCCTGCTTTCATATTCCTGGCGTTCTAGCGGGGAGCTGCTAGCGGCGAGAAGGTGGTTTCGCCGTCGCCCTTGCTGTTATGGGGACTATGCCTATTGTGTTTTAGGAAGTTTATAAGTTAGCGGCGGTGCTCCGCGATTAGTGCAATGGCGGATGTGGAACACTCTGTTTTGCACTGTACGGAGCTCGCTATTATTCTGCGGGAGGAAGTATTGCTGGGTAGACGGGGCCTTATTGCCCTGGCACGGATGGCGTCGCTACGGTATTTGGGAGTAATTAGAGACAAGACGACGACTAACTACCACCGTCCCCAAACAAACCCTTCCTGGCGCGCAAAGCGTTTCCCAAGCCGCGTTCCTGCTCGCTTGAGATTGTGATGTGGAGCTTGTGCACGAAAGGTTTGTGGAGGTTGTGCACGAAAAACATGTATGGTTGAACGAAATGTAACCAGAACTAGCGACGACAGCGGTGGAGAAAGGGAGGAAAATTAATGGTCGACGAAACTATCGATGTGCTTAACCAATGTGCTTCGCACTTTATGGACGAATGGGGTTCGACCACGTAAGCCGAAATTCAACCACCAATTAAGTGGTCCCGCAGCTGATCAATAAAATAAAGGCGAAAAAACTCATTTACATACAAGTTTTCAAGCATAAGCTGCTAGTGAAGCACTTCATGACGAGGAAACAAAAGAGGTGCGAAGTCCAACACCGATCGCAAGGGAAGCTCGAGATTCTAGCAGGATGTAGATAATTCCTAGAGAACTCCTGATTTCCAGTTGTTGATGCACACACGCCTGTACGAGGTATGCGTGTTTCGTCTCTAATCCTCCTCGTCAGATTGTTTACCAATTGTGTGTCTCCAGTCGTGAATTTGAGATCGCGTGGATTGGCCTCAGCCTGCCAGATCTGTCTATGATAAACATCATCAAGCCTTGCCTGTCACCCTTGAAAACACCAGGAAGCAGTTTTTCGCTGGCAGACTCGTTTTCGACCGTTTCTGTCGCAAGAATGAACCAGCTGAACCTCGAGCCGCCAGAGAAGCCGCTTCCAGGTGACTGCTGCGGTAGCGGTTGCAGCCCGTGCGTGTGGGAAACATACTATGAGGAGCTGGAGAGATATAACGCAGCTAAAGCCGAGGCTGAAGGGGAATCGAAGGGCGTGAGCCAAGCGCAGAAAACAGAGTCATGTAGGAGTACCGCTCCTGGTCAACAAAAATGACATCCAATTGTGTCCCTTATTCCAGTACAGACCAGGCTCAATTGTGCCGTTTCCGTGACATCTAATCTTATGTATAGTACAATAGGTCCTGACATGCCTCATTTGGTAGTACACTGACGGTTGCCTTGTCCACTGTCTGCTCTAATCCAGACTTCTTCATACACAAGCCAAGCAATACCACTTGAAAGATTCGGGGCTCCAGCAATCAGCTTATGACCAAATAGTCTGACGTTTCAGAAATCCAGAGCATTGCTTTTCCTGCCTGAGCTGCCACGAACGAGCCTCCCTCACTGCCTGAGCCTGCTCCCCTGTGGCTTTTCAGTCAATTCCCAAGTCTTTTTTTTGGTCATTTCAGAAGTCCAGAGCATTGCTTGCCCCGCCTGAGCTGCCACATCCAACCGAGCTTCCCCCGCTGCCTGAACCTGCTGCTCCCCCTGTGGCATCGATGGGGGGTGGGTGTGCTTCCTCCACCACAATCTGCCTCTTCCTGTTCACTGCTCTCAGCACCAGGGTGGTCACTGCTGGCATGCGGGGCACCTGCCAGGGGAAGATGACATCAGAAGCAATAAACGTGAGAAACAGACTGTTGAAAGCCTGCTGCTCCCATCCCATGAAGCATTCATTGGGGGGTGGGGTGGGGGGGGGGGGGGGGGGGGGGGGGAAACGTGCCTGCCACCCTTATCCACCATTATCTGTCGTTTCCAGTTCACTGCTCTCTCAACACCAGGGTGGTCCATGCTAGTATGCTACGCACCTGCAGCGATAATCAGTAAACCTCAGGACCTGACGCAACTGATTCTTGTTTCCTGCTCTGATACCAGCTTTCCGGGGCATGGACAGTCACTGTAAACATCCAGGTCACGTTACGTCCCTGCTGCCCGGTTCCCTGGGTAACGGCCCTGGCATGAATGATTCTTTATAGAGATGAGTTGCAATGCCAGAGTTGCAATGCCAGGGGGCTTACCAGGGAGTTTTGCACGGAGACCTTGCGAATGCGAATTAAACCCAGGGCATCTTTGTAGTCCGAGATCCCACTAGCTAGCTCTGCATTGTCCTCTGCAGCACAGCACCAGCCAATCAAGCCAAGAACAGTATAATTTGTTAATTTTTTTTTTCTTTCTTTCTTTCTTTTTGCTAACTAGCACATGTGAAAGTGCATGTACACCGAGCGAAGTGTAAAACAGGTGACCAGCTCGTCCATACCTTCCAGAACTTCCATTGCCAGCACCACGTCTGCTGCATGCTGCAGCCTCGGCAGCACGGTGAGAGAAGCAGCACACGTTATTGCTCCCCTTTCTCAGCAGCCAACACTAGCATGCACTAGGAATGCACACACGACAGGTTTCACTGCACCCCATTCTCCAGCTACCACACACCTTCCAGTGCTTCCATTGCCAGCACCACGTCTGCTGCATGCTGCAGTCTCAGCAGCACGTGTGGAGGTATAACTCCTTCCTCTCTAGGAACTGTCACGAGGACTGTAACCGGCAAAGTTTGAACAATGCCCTTCAGCCACTGCAGCCATGCGAGTACCTGCCAGGACTGCAGGGTTGGAAAGGGAGGAATTGGAGAACTATTGGAGAACAAGGAATTCATGAAACAGGGTTTCCATTAGAACTATATAAAACAATTCAATCTGATTGAACGAGGAACTATTTTCAACCATCCCCACCTCTATTTCTTTGCTGGGCTCACCTGCGCATCATTCCCTGACAGCAGCAATGAGGGAGGAGATCCCAGAGAATGCACACCAATGCGACCCACCCTTCCCCCTCTCTCTCCCCATCCCCCACCTCCTCCTCCTCCTCCTCTTCCCACGCCCCTTGAGCCAGCTCCCAAAGACCCCCCGGGTGCAGGGGGAACAGCATCTGCTGGATTGTTGGAATCAAGGGATGACAGGAACCCTGACACACGGCCAAAAAAGTCTTGGGTGAAACCTGACGTTGGTCCAGAGTCCCCATTCTGCGGCTCTTGCTGTGTGCAGCTACCCTTTCTCCCTGCCGTCAGCCCATCAACCCCCATGGGTACACACTTGCACAGCTGCTGCGCATGCCTTAGTGACGGCCGGGACAGCGGTGTGCGGAGGTCAAACTCGGTGCAGTACGGTACCGACGCACCTACCGCCCCTCCTGATCCTACTCCAGTAAACTGGGGAGCCAAGTGCTTATACTGCCATGCTATCCTTAACCCATCACCCCCTCCTCCCCCCTGCCCCACACTTTCCCCACCTCCGGATCCCCCTGCTCGTCTTTCCTCCTGCTGCCGACCCAGGCCGTGAGCCTCGGACAGCCCTCCCGGACCTGCCCGGCTCGGACCTGCGAGCGTACCCGAACCTGCCTTTCCCTCTGCTGGCGCCGGAAGCGTGGCGAGGAAGGCTTGGGGATCGGGGAGGGGCGAGAGGAGGAAGAGTGGGTGGGAGTGGGAGAGGCCTTGAGAGAGGAAGTAGCGGAGGAGGATGAGGTGTAGGGGTGAGAGTGGGTCCTCTAGTAATAGGACGATTCCTCCCACTGGGTAGCCCCCGCCTAGGGCGTGTGGTTAGATGGATTGAGAGGAAGGGGTGAGGGGGAGAGGAAGGGGTGAGGGGGAAGAGGAAGGGGTGAGGGGGAGAGGAAGGGGTGAGGGGGAAGAGGAAGGGGTGAGGGGGAAGAGGAGGGGGTGCGGGGGAAGAGGAGGGGGTGCGGGGGAAGAGGAGAGGGTGCGGGGGAAGAGGAGAGGGTGCGGGGGAAGAGGGGGGGGTGCGGGGGAAGAGGAGGGGATGAGGGGGAAAAGGAGGGGATGAGGGGGAGGAAGGGGTGAGGGGGGTAAGGAGGGACGAGGGGGAAGTGGAGGGAGAAATGGGGGGACATGAAGGGACGGAGATGGGGGAGAGGGGGAGAGAAGGAGAAGCGGAGGAAGCACAAGAGGGGGACAGTTTGGGGGTCGAGGAGAGCATGGAGCGGTTAAGGAAGGCACAGCAGGTTGATTGGACAATGGTGCTTTGGGAAGAGAGACAATCTACACGAAAGGAGAGGAGAGGTGCTTAGGGAGAGAGAAAACGAGCAAAACGCGAAAACAAACATCCCCGCTTGAAAAAATCGGGGTCAGTTTAGAGAATATCCAAAAAGGTCGAGGGGTAGGGAGAGGGTGAGGCGGATATGATCGAGGCCTGCGAGGCCTGACGAGGTGACCAATCGAGCTCCAGCCGCGAATTTCGTCCCGGGAAGAGCGAGCGTCGCTGCTCTGCTTCCGGCCGTTCCCGCCGTTCCTGCTGTGACTGCAGTTCCGCCTGCGGTGGTTCCTGTGATTCCTTTGCTTCCTGTGGTTTCTGCGGCTGCTCCTGAACTAATAGCGCTACCAACTCGTCCGGTCGTCGCTATTCCCGTCGTCGCTATTCTCGCCGTCGCGGGACGCCCTCGGCGAATGAAGCTACTCGCGGCGGCCATGGCGATCGTGAATATGCAAACTGTAAAATGCTAGCTAATTTCGCGTCGCGACTAGACTAACATTACCAGGCAATGCTCTCCCTCATAATGTACGCAGCAGAAGCAGTGTCCGCGAAGAGAAGACCCTATCTGGTAACCATTTGCAGTGCTGATATATATATATATATTTATATATATGTATATATAGCAAAATAATTAATTTATGTGGTGATACGTTTGCAGAAACATACATCCACAACTAAACCACCCACATTGAAGCTTGATAAACCAGTCCTATGAGCCAAAGTCACTATTAATAAACAGTAGTCAGGTTTGGCAGAAGGCGAGGGAGAAATCGGAATGGTTCTGGTTCACTAATATTAAATATGTTGTTACACTACGCATCCACTATTAGAATGACCTGCTACACCTCCAAAAAATGAATATAAGATGGGCTTGCACTCGCATCAGGGCCTCAGATATCAGCGTAAAACACGCTGATTACGCTGATTTTGTAGCTCTGAAATCCGTTTTCCCTGGAAAATCAGTAAATGCTTCCATTTTGGGCTGAAATTTCAGTAAATGTGATTTTGCCACACTGACGTTTTTGTGTGTTTCTGAACGAGTAACACTGACGAATCAGTATACTTCAGTGCGTCACCCTGAAACGGATTTGACCGCGCGGGGGGGGGCGACGCGTGTACAGATTGTTCCTTCGCGTGATTCACGAAACCCCACCCCACCCACACACTTGGAATCTTATCACATGCGCTGTATTTACAGCTAGTGCGCGCCGAACCGTTTTTGCCGCGCTGGAAGCCATCACACCAGAGAACGGTCAACCAAGTTCACAACTGCCCAATGAGAACACAGACAACACACCACTGGTGGCAGGGTCCACGCCAACACGCCAGGGATGGCAGAGTTGAGTGGGGGTGTTGTCACCTTGCCTGGAAAGACGGAAACCCTGGCCTGGACCAAGATCCCTCGTCATGGCGGCTCGGGAGAGGGGGTACCCCCATCTGCTCCCTCATTCTCTTCCTGCACTCCTGGTGAACCCCTGCAGGAAGTGATGTTCGAGCTGAAGCAGGAGTAGCTTCTCCCTCGTTGCTCGGCACGCTCAGCAGCACTGAGCAGCCATGGCGGCTTCGACGCCCGCAGGTGACGGCCCTCCGCCCGTCGCAGGCACGAAGCCAGCCGCCCTTACTGGCTTAGACTTTTTGCGACGAGCTTCAGCTGCTCCCGCGTTAGTCCCGCCATCAGCTCAAGCCGTTCCGTTCCCTTCCTCTGGCCCCGAGGCACCTACCATCTGGACGCAGGGCGAGTGTTCGACGCATGTCGGAGCTGCCGCTTCACCTCCTGTCGCTGCAGCATCAACTCGTGTCGCTGCAGCGTCAACGCCCGTCGCTGCCGCATCAACGCCTGTCGCTGCCGCATCAACTCCTGACGCTGTTGGATCAACACCTGCCGCTCCCGATCCCACACGGAACCGTCAACCTGTCACTGCCGGAACTACTCGGCAAGGTCCACGTCTTAAAAAGGGTATCAAACTGAGGTACCACCAGACAAAGATCTAGTGGGGTCCCAGTCAAGCTACACCAACGTCCGGTGCGGGGAACTCTTCCCCGAAGGCCCGTCAGCGTAAAATGAAGGGGAAAGCGGTTGAGGTGTCTTCCGATACAGAACTGCCCGACTTTGCCGAGGAGAAATACCAAGAAGCCTTATTAATGTTTAACAAACAATGGTCTACTGACTACCTGTGGCTTGTACTGCTGCAGAATAGTTTCGGGTTCCCGTCAATCAAGTGCAAGATCTGCATTGCGCACGCCGGTACGGGGACGAACTTCGGCGCCAAAGGAGAAGGGGCGACCGATGTGCAGACCCAGGCGATGTGGAAGCATCAGCGCACAAGGAAGCACCGCCGCGCTGTGCGCAGGCAGAAGACAGCCGAGGCGGCTCTCAAAGCTAACCGCCGGATTGACGACAACCCGAAGGTGAAAGACGTGGAGAAGGAGCGCCTGTTCGCGCTGTTTCAGACGGCGCTCTTCATCGCTAAGTCCGACGCCCCGATCGAGATGTACGTGGACCTCGTCCAGCACCTGGCGCAGCGTGGCACACCGGGCTTCCCAAAGCGCAGTTATGGTGCCTATTACACGACGTAAGTGACATTGCTCCTGTTCAACTGGCAGCGGGTTGTGATGTACTTGCAGCTATCTCTGACCACACCCGTTGATGCCCGTGCAGGTACGGATTCGAGGAGATCATCGCCGCAATAGCGACATTCCTTCGTGCGCGCCAGAGAGAATTCATCGACACGAGTCCCTTCATTGGTCTGAGCTGCGACGAGAGTACGGACCGCGTCAAAGGCAAGCACATGATTGTGTTTGCAACCTTTCTGCGTGAGCACGCCGTCACCACAGAGTTCCTGACTAACCTCTCCATCGAGAAGTGTGATGCAGCCTCACTTTTTTCAAAGCTCACGGAATTCCTTGACAGTATCAACCTCCCGCTGGAGAAGGTGGTGGGTATCAGCACCGATGGGGCACCTGTGATGATAGGAAACGACACGGGCCTCGTTGGGCGTCTTCGCCTGGAGATCCCGCACGTGGTGGCTTCTCACTGCATCGCACACAGGTAAACTGTTGCTGTGGTGGTGTTGTAGCGGTGTGAAATGTGCAACGTGGCAGTGCGAATTCTAACACCACCACCTGTGCTTTTCTACCCGTGGCAGGGAGGCGCTTGCTGCAAAGGAGGCGGCTAAGGCCCTGCCCGAGCTTGGCATCATCGACGCAGTCATCCGCGCATTGGCGGAAGATCTAGGCAGATCCAGCAACTACAACCGCAAGTTCAAGGAGCTGCAGGAGGTGTTCACGCACACCAACCTCGAGGTCCAGGGGATCCACTCCGTCCGCTGGTTGAGTCGTGGCGATGCTATCGCCCGATTCGTCCCCGTGTTCCCTGCTGTCATCGTCATGCTCGAGGAGACGGACAAGACGATGTACCAGTTGGTGACGTCGTTCAAGTTTCATTTTTTCCTGTTCTTCTTGGCAGATGTGCACACGGCACTCAACGCGCTCAACCTGCTATTCCAGAAGCGTCAGGTGAGCTGTTGAGTAACGTTGTGCTTTTCAGTTCTTCTCCCAGTTTCTAATCTTTTGTTCCGGTGTACCTATTCTCCCCCTACCAACAGGTTGACCTCACTGCAGTGCACTCCGAGGTGAGGCTGACCATCATTTACATGGAGCAGCGGTACCTGCACTGTGGCCAGCAGTTTGGCGGCGGGACCAGCGAGCTGCTGTCTGCCTTCCTCGCGCGGCACGCCTCCCCCGACTGCCGTGAAGTGACTGTGGAGGGGGTGGACAAGGAGGGTCAGGCCCGGGTACACACGTTCCAGCTGCACGAGGAGGCCGTGAAGGGATACACCACCAGCAGCGGGGGCATGCAAGGCTGCTACACCTGCTGCCGCTCCTTCGCCCGCGAGCTGGTGTACAACCTCGAGCTGCGCTTGGGAGACCTGACGCGGTTGAACGGGGCGAAGCTCTTCATGCCCCGCACGTGGCCGAAAGCCGTCGAGGCTAGAGAGGCCGAGTGCAAGGAGCACCTGCACGGCCTCGTCCATCTGTTCCAGGCCAAGAACCGGGACACGATCTTGCCAGGTGAGCTAGAAAGAGAACCCCAATGCCCTGCGTGTATGCGTTGCCGTTCTAAGCGGTTGCGTTATTCCCATGTTGAGGGCCTGACTTTCTACCCGGTTGTGCTCTCCTGTTTGGCAGGTGTCCAGAAGCGTGCAGCTCGAGCGGAGCTGCGCACGTTCCTGCCGGTGCTCTCCACTGCGCCCAAGGAAGAGCAGCCCTTTCACGCAGGTTTGAAGGCCATCTTGCAGACCAGCGACTGGCAGACCAGCTACCCCAACTTAGTCCGTCTGTGGGCTGCCGTCGCTGTTCTGCCGCTCAGCACAGTCGAGTGCGAGCGCGGGTTTTCCGGCCAGAATGTGATCAAGTCGTGGCGCCGGACGAGTCTCTGCAACGCCAAGCTGGGAGATTTGTTGGCAATGTCTCTTCTCGACTACGACATGGACTGGGATGCGGTGGTGGACATCTGGCGGAGCACCAGGAAAAGGCGCCCCAGCAAGCGCAAGGAGCAAGCCGCGCCAGAGAAGGAGCGACCCAAGGCCAAGTTTGTTAAGGGGAGTGGCCGCCGGCTGGTACAGGTGGAGGAGGAGCTAGATGAGGGCATGATGAGTGGTTCTGCATCCGATGCCAGTGAGAGTGATGATGATGGCAGCAGTAGCAGCAGTGGTGATGATGCGAGTGTTTCTTCTTCAGATGATGACATGACATGACATGAGCTAGTTAGCTAGCTAGTTTGTAGTTAGTAGTAGTTAGTTAAGTTAGGGGTATATTATCTTGGAATATTTTACACTGAAGGATCAGTATAGTGAAAAATTTAACACTGACAGAATTAGTATATTGAAAACCACCAACGCTGATTTGGACAGCTGGTGGCAGGGGCACGCTGATCCATCAGCATACCCTCAAACCAATCTGAGGGCCTGACTCGCATCAACAAACCTACTCACGCATTGACAGCATGTGCTGTGATGCGCATGTCAGGAGAGAACAACAGCCGTGCCACCTGCTGAACGTCCCTGGGAGTGA